TTAAAATGCGTTGTTCGTTTTATTCTAAAATGTTTTTACGTCGCGTATCGAGCGAGGATACTTTTCTTTTCGAAAATGTATGAAAACGTTGAAAAATTATTTCCGTCTACAGTGAACTTGAAGATTGAAACTGAAAACTTGATACGTGATTTCTTTCTTGCGATTTCAGTGAATATTAGACTCAAATGACGAAAATTGAAGCAATTGTAACATACTCATTTTCGCTTGATATTCGAAATTAAATGAGGGTCGTCGTAAAAGGCTTCAATTTTCAAATTCATTGTAGATTCAGTCTCGAAGAAAGTTTTTTCAATAGTTTATGCCGTTAAAATTTATAGCATTTTCGAGAAAAAGAGTGTCTTCATTTTGCTATCTGCTACATATCTGCAGAGACATAAATAAAACGACTAGATTTAGTATTTAATGTCTGAATGTTATAGTCACTGTCAAACTAACTTTTCGCGAACAATTGTAAAACCAAGGATTTAGCTACGTATTCTACAAATAACAACGACCGTTTCTCCTTAAAAATAATGAATTATATCGCGCGGTAAATCTCTCGCGAATAGAATCCAAAGAGTGACCAGAGTAACCGGTCTAAAATTATCTTCGTTCCACCGTGAATGATCGTTCCGTTTGAAATAACATCCCGAAACGAATCTTCTCGCGCAGATGAAAAACCTTCCGACCATTTGTGTGCGTGAAAAAATGGCAGAGTTCCTCGGGAGAAAGACGTCTGGAGAAACGATGAAAATGGTTCACTTCGAGACACCGTGATTCATCGACGAAGCATTCCGAACATCGGCATACGGAATCCGGTATTGTTGCGAAGATTTTCGCTTCACGGCCAAATGTTGTCCGAAAAAGATTTACGATTGGCAAAAAGAGGCAACTAAACGCGGGTGTTTCGCCATTGAGAACGAAGGAGTCGAGACGCTCTTCTCTCGCGGCCCTTTCGATTTCGTTCCGATTGCAGCCGAGGATGTGTGTCGACATTGCCCTCCTTAGCTGGCGAAAGTTCCACCGGCTAATTGAACTTCTTAATCTTCGACCGGTTCCCACTTCTTGTCCCCTGTCTTTCGGCTCGCGTGTCTCACTGTGGATTTTCGGTTAGTAGTATTGGCGTTAGACTCAAAAAACGAAAAAAAAAAAAATATAAATTGAAGGTATGTGAGAAAATAAATAACAAGGGAAAGATGAAGTATCCTTTTGAAATAAATTGATGAACAGAGACGAGTTGATGGAATAAAATTATTTTTATTTATTTCGAATTATATAGAACAACAAAATACAAGAAGGAAATAAAAATTATTATACAAGAAGGAAAATTAATTATTATACAGTATGTAGCTTGATTTATTACAATGTACATACATACGTCTGTATAAACCTGACTCGTTAATACTCGTTATTCAATCATTTGTGATTTTATAGAGGAATTTATTCATATCAACTTTTTAATCTGTCTGAATGTACTGTATAAAACTCGATACGCTGGATCAGTTCGGCTTTTCACCGAGTCATTGTCGAGAAGGTAAAGTAATTACGTTTCGTATATACGCTCCGAAATTTTTATGGGAATTATATTGCATAATGTCTGTAGTGTAGGTTGATACGGTATATGGTTTCTTGTTATGCAAAGTGGATTCAATGCTTACATATTACGATTATTAAATATTGAATTACAATTGTATTATAACCATGGCTGAAAGTATATAAATTCGATAATAATATAATAATATAAATATTATTATAATAATTTATAATAATTATAATAATAATATAAATATAATATAAATAAAAATATTTATTAATAGACTGCGGACTTTTATGTAAATTCATAGTTCAGATAAAGGTTCGTTTCATATGTTAAATATTACAGCAGATATTTATTATATTTTCGATATTTTATATGTTTTCACTTTAAGTTCTTTACAAATGCATAAAAATCCGTAATCATATCAAAATATTTTACGTATATACGTTAACTAGTTTCGCAGTGGAATAATTGAATTAAACGAACATTGTCCAACTTATTTTACATGTTTCTGCTTCGATGTTTCCCTCACAATATATAAAAAGAAAGGGTCAATTATATTTTTTTAATTAAGAAATTAATTAAAAAGAAATTGATTTTTTCAAAAATTAAAAAACGAAGAACCCTTGTTCTCATTATCTTCTTCTATCATCGTTCATAGATATGTATTTGAACGTGTAATACAATTTAATCACAAAGTTCAAACTTCAATAAGCCCCGTCTAGTCGTAAAGTTTAAACCCTAACTTTATCTCTTTGCCATAACTGGCCGTTAAATACTCTGCTAAATTTAAACTGGAACAGGTAACGCATACGTCAATCTAATATAACGCAACGAATGTACGTATGATGTTTATCTTTAACGAATGACTAACACTTTACGAAATTTATTTCCTTTTCCTTTCTTTTATCTCGCTCGCGATGTATAGCAGAGTTCAAAGTTGGAGATAATCTCTCCGAAGAAATTAACGACGAAGGATCTGGGAGGGAGATTAGAACAATTCCGGCGTGAAATAGTACGAAGGTCTCGTTCCCGGAACACGTCGACCTGACCAGAAACAGGTCCACGTCAAAACAAACGTTAATGATTAATTAATGAGCAATTAAATCTTTTTATTTCCTTCGAAAAACACGGGTTGGCTCGTAAATGATTTATCGTTGGGGAACTTCCTGGATGAGATTAGACATCAAGGATAGATTTCATCGAACGGAAGAAATTCTTTTTGACCCTGGAACGACTGAGGAAGGCACCTCGAATTCAAGGAAATGTCGGAAATAGGACGACCTGTTCAATAAACGAACACTGCTCAATTGCGTGTCTGTTAAAAAAAGAAAAAAATTAGCATTCACAAATCGTCGTTTAATCTGGAGAAACAATAAATATATTCATTATCATCATAATAATTCAGTCTATAATATTAATAATAATAATAATAATGTAATAATTATAATAATAATGTAATAATATTATTATTAGTATTGTCGTAGCAATTCGTAATTATTGTCAAAGTAATTCATACTCGTAATGTCGAGAGACGGGATACGAGGTGGTGTAAATCGATTGGAAAGAATTGGAAATTAAGTTGAACTTCATACGCGGAAAGCTTCCCCCGACGGGAATGTTGGGAACTCCCTCGAAATTCAAGTGCCGATCGAATAAATAAATTTGCTGAAGGTTTCCTCAACACGTGTAAAATACACGAGGGGGAAGGGGGAGGTTGGACGACGTTTGAACATTAACGGGTCAATGGCGCGGCGAAAACGACACTTCGCCGTAAACACGTTCGTATTCTTGGACAGTGTTTTTTGGAGGTCGGTTACCGTGCTCGACCAATTAACGTCGAAATAAAATCCGCTCGTGCGCCGTTCCTCGCCGTTTTATTATCATGCGCGAGCCACTTCGACAGGAAGTTTCTCGGCTTTGTACTTGTGTCTCGATTGACACGCCGCAGGCTGATTTGCTTCTTCGTTCCTCCGTATTGTTGTTTCAAATGTTTTTCGGTGAAAAAAAAAAAAAAAAAATCGCGAGCTTCAAATTTAAAAAGGACGGCAACGCAAATCGTTGATGTACATAAAATCTACATTTTCTTCTTACACGAAATTTTATCCAAAATTGAAAAAAGAAATAATAGATTTAGTTCATTGTTTATATTATCTTATATCATATTGGCGTTCGTGAAACGAAATGAATTAGAATTATGTCCAGTCAGCATCACTTCTGTCCAAAAATTAAATACGATTGCAAAGGGTTGTATAATTCTATATTACTATATTTGCATAATTTTCGTTATATTTACTCATATATTTACACAATTTTGCATTGTTAATGTATAGTTACACATACACGATATTAATCTTATATATACGAATTGATTTGTATTATTAATTCGTTTAAGAAAATTGCACAAGTGGAAGCGAGAGAGTGCAGAAATGGGGAAAGAGTAGTTTTGGAGCACCCGTTGTGTAGCCAGATGCGCGTTCTAGTCTGCAGACTCCTACTCACTGTCAGTGAAAACCACATCGGTAGGATAGTCGGTGCAATGGAACGCGAGGGAAATGAGAAAAGTCGGGCACCGATGAAAGTGAGAGGACACCGGCTACAGGCGGTTTCAGTCAGAGTGGCTTCCTTCCTGTCAGTCACACGGAGAAAGGATATCTGTCGCCGTGCTCTTGTCCCTTTTATTTGCAACCAAATCCCGTACGCGATCGCGTGTCTAACTCAGATTACTTTCTAAAACAATCGCGAGAGAACTTTTCAATCGTTCCGTAGAAAGTCTATAGAGATTTTTAGCTCGTTCTTTTTCCTTTTTTTCGTGCTTTGAGGTAATTTTTGGAGCCAAGGTGGAATCTCGTTCACCGTGAAACAAAGCCAATCGCGATTTCGCAGAAACGTGGTGGATGACTGGAGAGACCGACGTTATAAATAATGCCGTGACGCGCGTAAGTTAGGTGGTCAAAAATACGAAGTGTATCTTGAAGGCGGGATGATAAATCACAACCGCGAGTTTTGACGATTTATTCCTGGATATACCTTGCAACCGTATTTTTTCCCTCGGCGGGAAAATCCTCGGTAGAAATTAGTCTACAGAGAATCGCGAACAAACATGGATGACGTTGGTTGATTATTTATTAATTTTTTAACAGTTTAATAAGATTATAAATTCCTGTCAGAAATAATTGTTTGACGCGTTTAACCCTTTACTGTTACTGTTTTACGTTGATTTGAATTCCATTACTAATATATAAAATGCACAAAGTAGAACGAAAATATTTTAAATTTTCATCAAAATATTAAAATTGAAATACAAGTTTCTGTAACATCATTGTTAATTACCATAATCATTTGTGATTCCACTTGATATCACTTGAGGGTTAATGTACAATGGTGTACAATTCTTTTACGTCCGTGCATGGAAAAAACAAAAACGTAAACTAACGAAAGATTTCTTTTTCTGTGAGCGCAGATTGACCGTTCGAATGAAAATCGTTTGAACGGTCGTGAGGGTCCTCCGACGAAGAAGAATCCTGGCTAAAGGGTGCGAAAAGGCTGTTAGGAGAGAAGAGAAAGAGGGAAAGGAAGAGGTGAAGCGAAGTCGATCGATCGTCGTGATAGACAATGGCGGGCGAGGACACTCAGATTCTGGCGAACGGAAATGTCGAGGCACTGACGATAATCCCGCCGAAGATGGCGAACGGGAACGGTCTGATCTGCGAGAAGCAGCACAACAACAATGGCTCGATACCAAACGGGCAACTACACGAGATCTCCGCGACGGAGAACGGGAAGCTGATCATGTCCGACGAGAAATCGAGCAGCCTTCACACGGAGTTCGACGACGCTGACGTGTCGTGCGGCTGGGGCCCGTGCAGGCCACACTGGCTGCAGTATTTCGCCACGAAGCAGGCCTTCCTGGCCACCTTCTGCATCACTTGGGTTGGTTTTTAGCTTAAAGATGATTTTGAAAATCGCCGCTTTTGAAAACTCTCTGAAGAGAAAAGACGCTTTTGAAATTTCTATTTTAAACTTTACTGGTTTTTTTCATACCAAAGAAAATGCAATAGTAGGAGACAGTAGAAAGCTCTTTTTATTTTTCACACTGTTGTACCTGTTACCTTTTGCTTTACTTCTACATCCTTACTTTTACTATCACTTATAGTTCCTACAAGTAGATGAGCAAAAGGCAAATTAGATTCATAAAACGTAGACGATAAGGATTAGTTATAAGAGTAGAAATAAGAAAAATGCAGACCCATTGTAAACCGGAAGCCATCCTAAGCCGCCTAGGCAAGAATTATATATAAGTAAATAATAATAATACTGGTTTTTTCTTTTTTATGAAAGAACGTGAGAAATTAGAGGTCCGTAGTAATTTAAGTTCGCTGCGTTCTTTAAATCATGTTAGTCATAAAATTTTTTACGTTGGAAGAAAATGTGAAACAGTATTTGTTCGTAGGTTTTGCGAAAAATTTTATCACAAAACAAACACAATTGTACGATTATTTTTATTCATCAAAGTAGACCTCATTACACTCGATGATCTTCTCCCATTTTGCGATCAGTCTATGACATGAAATTGTATCGATTTAATGTTAAATTACACAGATTCAGTTCATCTTCGAAATTTCTCCTGGTTAATAAATGTACCAAAACGATTTGTGCACTGATTGTACGACGCAAGAACGTCATCGAGTGCAATGGAACTTACTTCGACGAATAATAATTATCGCGAGAACGATCAAACAATTGTATTTTCTTATCACCGATACGGGGGGAAAAGACCGAAAGAAACTTTCCGCGATTGTTTGTTTAAATTTCGCGCGGGAATCTTCCCTCCCTGGAAACGTTCGAAGTTTGTTTGTTCGTCGAAACGAGAACGAGGTTGGAATATAAAAATTCAAAGACCGCAGCGAAGTTGAAACTCTTGGTTGGTTTTCAATTCAAACCGCGTCTGGGTTTACAGGTCCTCCAGGGAATGTACTACACGTACTTCGTCTCGGTGATCACGACGATCGAGAAGCTGTTCCAGATTCAGTCGAAGACCACCGGTATCATAATGTCAGCGACGGAGATCGGCCAGATCGGTTCCTCTCTCCTGCTTACGTACTACGGGGGTCAAGGTCACCGGCCTAAGTGGATCGCTTGGGGCATGATCCTGTTCGCGGTGAGCTCGTTCACCTGCTCGATGCCCCATTTCATCTTTGGTAAACAGCTGATCCATCAGAACGAGATGTTTTTCAGCGGTATCGAGGGTGGTGACTCCACGAATCTTTGCAAACTGCAGGATCAATCTGGGAACGCTACTTTGGATAGGTGAGCAGGATCTCTTATCTTTTTTTAATCTTTCGTTTCAACGATTAATTTTAATTAATTAATTTCTTGTCGTTTGATTGAATTTTGTAAGAAACTTAATCCTTCCAGTATTAGTGAATCATATAGAGAGATCAATATTTCGATACTACTGTCGTTCAAAAGATTATTTTTCTTTATATTTGTTTGTAATAATCTTGTTGAATTAACTTTTAATATAGTAATACAGTAATTATTTTCAGAAGAAATTTAGGTTTTGTTTATTTAAAGCACGCAGTTTTTTAAACGAGCGACAGATTAGAATGCAGAAGTTTGTCATTTTGATTAACATACTCTCCAAAAAGTTTTTTTAAAAAGTGTAAATTCGCATAATTTATCTTGTTATAATTAACCGTTTCAGGCCCAGTGAATGATATACATTTCAAACAAAGTTTTGAAATAACATTCTATAATGCAGTGACAATTCTGAATTAAATATAACATAAATTACCATTCTTTAAAATAAATACATAGAGTTGTATTTAATCAGAGTCAAGCATTCTCTGATCATTCTTGTCAAATGGTTCGCAAGAAAAATATGTGGACAGTATCTAACTTGTTACACATAAACATACGAGTTCCAATTTTTATTTTAGAATTTTCTAAAATCGGTATTTTTTTTACGTATCTAAAGTGAGAATAATTCGAGATTAAATTAAATATAATCAAAAGTCATAAAATAGAACCAAACAATTTTGAGACGAGAGATCGAGATCTAAATTCATACAAAGGGTTGTACAAAAATACTCGAAATTATTCAATTATTCAAACGTCACATATTTATCGTTTGCATATTTTAAAACTCTAGATACCGTTGCATGCTTTCGAAATTATGCAATTTCCGCCCTCCCTATTTTTTCCTACCTGTCTTGTTGAAGATACTATAATCGATAGTATCTTTTTTTAAACGGGTTAGGTCTCGGTACCTGTCCACCTGCTCTTTGCGTGTATAAATAAAAGGAGCAATTAACCAAGTCATATTTATCGTGCTGCGAACATTTGAACAATTAAACAGACGTTCTCCAAACCGTACGATATTTTTTATTATGCTCAAACGAGATTTATTTCAATCAAATCTCTGTCGCACAAATGATAACAGCACAATATAGAATTAGATTTTTGGCTATTGTTGAATTGAAATTCATGAATACTAGGGGTGTGCGAGAACCCGAATATATGGGGAACTTGATGGTCGGGACGAGTCAGGAAAAGGTCGAGTCGGGTTCCCGAAAATTTCGAGATTCCCGAAGGAATCGAGTTTCCCGTGAAAGTCGAGATTCCCGAAAATTTCGAGAACCCGGCTGCCGTTTCTCGAACAACTCTACAATATTATATAGCAGCCGACAAAATTTGTAAATACACAATTCAATTTCTTCTGCCAGTGAAGTTATTGGAAACACGGATTCTAAGAATCGTGTGACCTGATGTAAACGAACGTGTGACTGCGTGCTTAGTACTTGGACATTATGTACGCTGTTGATCAGTATCGCTGAGAAACTCGGGAAGCTCAGACGTACATTTCAAAATCTCTGTGAATTTAATAAAGATTAAAAATCTTTTAAAAAAAAAATGTCGAGTGATAGTGAGAGTGAAATTGTGGTAGCAGGAAGTAGTGCAGAAGATATCGTGCAAAGGAAGAAGGTAAAGAGAAGCTCTGTTTGGAAACATTTTCAGAAAAAAAAAAATGATACAAAGGCGGAATGCACACATTGTCACCGTGAGTTTTAAAATTAAGTATGCAAATACTACTGGTTTATTACTCCATTTGAAGTATATACATCCAAACATACGTACATGTACTAGAAAAGAAACTGAATCGATATAAAATTTGTCGCATGTACAAAATGATACGCGAAAGATTGTTAAACCAAAAGATATAACAGAAGGAATTGCTCGAATGATGGTTCTAGATCTGCGACCATTCGATACAGTTGAAGGCGTCGGCTTTAACGAATTATTTAAGCTTGTTCCCAATCCGTTCCCAAATCCCAACTCTTTCGAGAATCCCGAAAAAATTTCGTGTTCTCGACTCGGCTCGACTATTTCGGGTTCTCGCACATCTCTAATGTACACCTAATAGTTGATGAATATTCTATTCTAAGATTACATTCTTTCCAAAAGAAATATGAATGCATTGGAAATTATTATAACTTTTATTTGCATAAATGTTTAATAAATTTAACTCTCCGAGAACCATGGAAATTGCACTGCCATAAAACGATGATTTAACTCTTCGGTTTCATGGTTGCATTTATATCTTACGGTGGTTGCGCGAAAGAAGAAGGCTGCTAAATTATAATAATGGGTTCTGACTTGATATTTATATTTTGGATATAAATTCTCTGTTGGGATTTTTCTGCGAGCGAACCGTAGTGTTTGCTTTGCGATATGAAATATGTTTTACCACGCATTTTTCCGTTTTCTGATTTATTCGAACCGACGTTACTGACAATGTTTCTTTTTCTCAAAGCTGGATCTCATCTACGACGCCGGCTCAAGTGAACGCGATGAACTACTGCAAGGGTGACTCGTTGACAGAGCAGAGAATACAGAGCAAAATAATCACAATGGTCCTGGCTATATTTTTCGTCTCCTTGTTAGGCGTTGGAATGGGTCAGACGGCAGTCTACACCCTTGGTATCCCTTACATCGATGATAATGTGGCCAGCAGAGAAAGTCCGCTCTATTTCGGTAAGAATGCAATCGCTTGCGTTTTTATTATACTTTGTTACATTAGGTTGTTACCGTTGAAATGGACGAAATCTTACAATTAATTTCTTAATTAACTTTGTAACTTAATATTAACCAAATTTTGATTTCGATTCATCATGATTCGACATACAGTAGATAGAGTTTTTCACTCACGAATTAATAAAGAGATAAAAGTAGTCTGTCAATGAAATTTTCCGATAATAGAACAATATTTTTAGTATATTCAAATGCATATCAAGAAAATTTGCAGTTTATTTCGATATTTAAGAATACTATAATCCTTCTAGCTGTTGGATTGCTTAATTTCTTTTTAATATAAATAACTTTACAATGTTTTGAACCATTGAAATTAAGAAGTAAGTATGATCTTTTTTTTTTTTTTAATAATGATAACATATTTTTTTTTCTCGTACTATTGTAGCCGAAAAACATGTACTTCAGACATGTACGGTGTATTGATTTTTAAATTACCTGGTACAAAAGAATCATGGCAGTAAAATTCATAAATATTTAATAAGTTAAATAAATGTTAGATATTTAACAAATTTAACTTTCCAAATCAATAAAATTTCAATTGATAACATTTGTCAATGATATTATATTTTAATCAATAATATTTCAATTGAGATAACATTTGTCAATGATATTATATTTTAATCAATAATATTTCAATTGAGGTAACATTTGTCAATGATATTATATTTTAATCAATAATATTTCCTGCGTGGTTTGACGTGTTTTATAAAATCGATCATTTCACGTACAAAGATCTAATACATATTTGGAAGAAAAGAGGTGAAAGAGAAGGAACCGTGTTCCGGGCAGAACCACCGAGAGTTCGAAAGCAGAACGTTATCGTTTCGAAGAAGCTTTTGATTTCGAGCATCTCGTTGTTGCGTTATCGTCAGAATTTCAAAGTTATCGAGGATTTGCATACTCACGGAACACGGCCCCGATGGATTTTGTTGCAGCGATTACGATCGGAGTGAGGATCCTCGGACCGGCCCTAGGCTTCATTCTCGGCTCATTGTGCACGATGATTTACGCGGATTTGTCGGCGAATCCGCAAATCACGCCGACGGACCCGAGATGGGTCGGAGCATGGTGGCTTGGTAAATTGAAATTTCTTACGTACTTCCTTACCACAGCAAGCTTTTCAACCTTTGTTTAATGATTAATCGCTGTTTCCTTCGATTTCTATATTGTAAGATCTTTCTCATCTGTATATATCTTTCTCGAAATCTCTTTGAGCGGGGACGATGAGTCAACTCGTTGTTGGAAAATACATCTCCAGTGCGTAAACTGATCAGAGTTCCTTCCTTTTTTTAACTTTCCAACGACGAGTTAACTCGTCATCCCCAGTTAAAAAATTGCAAAATTACAAAAAGCAGGAAACGAAAGGAGAACGACGGAAGAAGTTTACAGAAGTATCATCGTGTATTTCAGGTTTGGTGCTAATATCTGCCATGCTGATGCTGGTCAGCATAGGAATGTTCGCGTTCCCGACGCGACTGCCCGCGAGTAGAACACCGCCGAAACGGGCAGATGCGAAAAAGCCTAGTCTCCGAGGTAAGCCCTGATTTATCGTAGCGACGCGAATTGTTCGTCAGAGAGGCTGGTGTTTAAGCTCCGGCTATCGGATCAGAGCGGTTTAATTTGATTTTATGGCTTCCCGTGAGCCGTTTCTGCGCGAGCCCTCCCAACCCCAACGTGTTTGGTAGCCGTCCCACAAAATTGCCCGGCGAAGATTCGACGGGGAAGATAAAAGTATCATCGGACGACCCGAAACTATCTATTAATCATAGGCCCCATCCGCGTACGCGGTGTATCCGGTCGATAGATCAATTTCATCGACGGCCACGCAGCAACAAATGGCCTTTTCGTGTAACGCAAATCATCCACGTCCGTTATAATTTTTGAATAACATCGACGTATCTCACCGGCATTGATATACTTTCACCGATAAAGAGAAATAAGGAACTAGGGAATAAGATTTTTTCTTACAACTGTAAACTCCGGTGAGGCTGTCGACGGACCAACGGGAAACCAGCCGTTGAAACTTTAAATATCACGCGGAACAGGTTTCATTTTCGAGTCATTATCGAAACTGCAGGTTCACTGTACGTGTTTATGAGAAATTTAAAGATGCGAACAGATGCCGAGTTGCTGCGTGCAACAGTGCTGAAATGCATAAAATGTCGAAAGTAAAGTGTTTGGTAAAATCCGTGAATTTCTATGCAGTTTCATACTTTTTTTTTGAACAGAAAAGGAGAACTGAAAAGGAGAAAAACGTGGGACCTACGTAAGATATTTGATTCTTTTAAAAATTGTGACGAGTACTCCTCTTTGGATATTTTATACATATTTATTTTATACATTCACATATTATGTGTATTTTATGTATTTTCACCGTTTTAAATTTCGCGATAAATGCGTAAAAATTCGATACGTAAAAAAAAAAAAGAAAAAAAAAAAAGAATTTCTGCTTCCGCTTGGTTCGTAAAATTCTGAAATTACACGCGATAAATCTGCAGTCTGATTAACGCGTGTCGTGGTCTTATTATTTGCGTTATTGATTTGTTTATTCGCCTTTTGGAATTGTTTATTTACATGTTCGGATTGTTTATTTACGTTTGTACACCAATTGCAGAGCAGAGCTCGACTGTTGCAGTGGCAACACGTGCTGCCTGCATCATTGGACGCGTTAATCCGCGATGGATCATTAATTCAGTACAAATATTATCTACGTCTCGGTCTTTTGACGAGACGAGATAGCGATGGCATTATGCATTCCGTGGGCGTTTATCGAGACGAAAGGACGAGCCAATAAGATGATCTTCGAACCATGAACCTGGCAGTCAAGGTCAATGACGAATTTAGGTTTGCAGAGCCGGCGTGTCTGCTCGTTCGATCGTGAGCACGCAGTCTAACGCTTAGTGAAACACGGGCGAAAGCCCTTTTCTGCTTGGGACAGCGGGGCGACCCTTCGCGAGTTTATTCTTGATCCGCTTCGTTAAAACTTTCGATCGAAAGGCCGAACATTTGTTCCTCGAAAAGGTGAACAATAGAAAAGTCGATTCGACTACACAGAATGAGATCGTCTTCAATGTATAATAACTGTCTATAAAAGAAGAAGATTATTAATTGATACTTATACAAACAATCTGTCCAGGGAGTCCAGAGAATCCGGATGGTATTCATTTCTATATTTCATTTAAGAATTTGCACGTTTCAATAAATTTTTAATATTCCCTGCAAAAGAAATATTTCCAGGATTTACATCTTTTCATCTTTCATCACTTGGATTTCATGAAATTTAAAGAAATCGAAGTGTTTATAAGCTTATGTTAAGCTTCAGATTTAATTTAGAACCTCGTTGACACGATAAATAAAGCGAATTATATTCATTGTTACACGAATTATGAGTGGAAATTTTACAATGTAATTATACAGGATTATACGAAAGTTCTTAATTCCGGTCCAGCATTTTGGTTGTCTATGGAAGAGCTAATTGCAACTACTTGCTTCAATTTAAAATCTAATAGTTGCGACAAACGGTCAGAGTAAAGCAATCTATGAAAAGATATTTCACTCTTTTTAGTTACAAAATGTTACAGATTGTAAAAGTAGCGCAAAATTATGAGAGTCGACGAGGAGATCGAAAATTCTAGTAACGCACCTTCTATATCTTGTCTATGTTCTTTTTACCCTCAACTAACAATGTTTCGGAATGTTGTTCCTGAAAGAGGCAACTGCTCAAAATGCAGCACGAGTCGCATCGATAATGAAACTTGTACGTTCTGGTGCAGCACGTGCATTTCTCTGTTGCAGTTACACGGTACTTAAAAATAACTTTGACTACCGATTGTAAATCTGTCTACACTTGACAATTAATGCTTAGTATATCTGTATCAAGCTAATTCTTTAAAAAAATCTGTCGAAATTCAAAAACGAAATCTTAAACAGAAAAGTAAGTTCTATTTCTCACTTATTTTCTTACGCGGAATAATCTCCTGTCGATTATTCGTTCCTCTCTAGAATTATCTAAATCAAGTATCGACAGTCACGAATTGCAATAGAAATTTCATTTCTATTTAAAATTATTATATAATCCATCCCTCATATTTCTCTTAGGACAAATAAATTTATGCATTTCGAATTTTTACAACATGCTAAATTAGATTACTAAATTAGTGCATTGACACTTATACAGGATGATTCACGTAACTTGCGCACCTTAAAAGAACTTTTAAATTATGCGACATAAAAAAGATTTTGAAGTTATTCAGTGTATATTTCCAACACTGTGACATCTTCCACTACATTGTCTTTAGTCTCTTTTATTTATTCTATCTATTCTATTTTAGTAGACTATACTCGTTAATCAATATTATTATTATTGTTATTACCAATTTCCAAACTTAACTCTCTCGAAAAACGAAGCCTCGAATAACTTACAACGATTCTTAGAGTCATCCCTAATCCGATTGTACCTCGCTTTCCTACACCTTTCTCTGTGTGTAATCTTTAATCACGGAGAGAAAACGCGATCGCGAAACGTTCTCTCGAAATCCAGTTTTGGAGTGGAAGGCAGGAACTGCGGGACGACGGTAGCAAATTGCTCGTATTTTCGGAGGGGAACAACGGCCCGACCAAAAACTGAGCCTTGCATCCGGCCAAGACCCAGGGTAATTTTCCCGCGTAGCCGTGGATCACGCAAGGAAGAGATTTAACGGAGAAGAGAAGAGAAGAGAATGAAAATGCATCGGCGGGGCGGTCGGTGTGTGTTGTGCCGCTTGGCGCATTTCTGGTGCGTTACGTCGCGCGTGTTATGTCGGCCGAGGTGCACGAGACAGCTGAGATAAGTCCTCTCCCCAGCGAGGAATGGATCCACACGCGGCCAGAGAGAAGAACAGGGCCGTATATGCACGCAGAAATGCACGCAGAAATGCACGCGCTCGCGCGCGTGCCTACCAAGCGCCTATGCACGACGCATGACCGTGAACTTGCCCCACCTAGTGCACCAGTCGGTCAGTCATCATTATTAACGCACACACGGCCCTGGTCGCGTTCGCACACACACGCACTATCGCCGATCCTTTACTCCTACGTGCACATGGCACACCGGAGAGACGAGAAATCCGGATACGTTTCGGTTCCTTTCGATTCCCTTCTTTGCTGGCCAGTATCCAGAAACCAGATCGGCTTGCGTTTCTATCGATCTCTGATCGTGCGTGCGTGCGTGCGTGTGTGTGTGTGTAACTCTGATCTCAAAGAGCAACCCGCGTAAACAGCGAAGTTCGAAGCAATTCTTCGGAGGTTCGATATTGGGAGTAAAGAAGCTGGAATGTCGTGGAACGTGGCTATGGTTCTCTAGTGGAAACTTCCGTGTGTGGTACCAGTACTGTGTGGAACAGATCGTGGAATGCCAGAGGATCGCCACGGAGGACAAGCGGAGGCCATCGTATCCAGTGGATGCACGCGATTCGCGTATTACTCGACTCGTTAATGCTCGTCCGTTTGAAGACTTCATTCGATGATACCTGTGCGTGTCGTCTTTTTGAAAATCGTTGACCAATGTCTTTGGAGATCAACTCTGCTTATTTCTGGTTGTCGTCCGTTATCGTCTATGGGGCACCTCTGTCGGTGATAAAAGTTTCTCTCTCTCTCTCTTCGTCAAACTGCCAGTCCTTTTGAGAATTCTGGCGGACTGTTCGCGAACGGCCACCCTGTATGCACCGCTTGGTGCAGGGTTGTCGCGATAATACACGGAGCGCAATGTTAGTCACGTTTGTCTACTCATGGTCTGCAGGAGTCTTCTCTATGCGGGGTTGCCACGACTCTAGCCCGGCCTTCCTGGAAGCCTAGAGCAGTCCTAGGCATCCTTAATGTCAGTTTCCACCGAGGGTTTCTCGAACGGAAACCTCGCACGAAGGTGGATCGCTGCATCGTTCTCTCCGCTTCTTTTTCCACTCTCTCTCTCTCTCTCTCTCTCTCCTCCCACCCCTCTCTCTCGCCCCTCCTCTCCGCTCCATGCAGGAATTCGCGTTTTTTTTACGATTGCTAGAAAATCGATGCTTCATCCGATCGCTTCTTGCTCGGCCACGTCTCTCCTTCGGACGTTTTTCATCCAGTTTTTACCGCGATTCTTTCATTCTTTCTCGATCGGGAAGAACCTTAATTCGAAGTCGTTAGATCGCCGCGTAAACGAGTAGGTGTTCGTTTCTGTTCCCTCGGCAACGTTTGATAACACTCGCGAGAGAAAAAGGACGCCGAGTCCCTTAATACGAGTGATTCTAATGAATATACGAGCTCGTTTGCGAAGACTGGTCTTGTTCGATCCGATTATCGGTAAACTGGGAAAGGTAAGAGTCCGTTTGAGACTGATACGTCAAAGGACGTCGACTCGTGATAAGAAGTAGAAGAAACTAGATAGGAGAAAAATCGATCGCCGTCATCTCTTATCGGGATCTTTCGAAAAGATGTCGTGCGTCTCGCGAAATCTTTATCGCTCCCTCTCCCTGCCCGATGATCGATCCTCGTTTTTCCCGGTGCCGGTGCAAGTATCGGACGTTACGCTTTCTTTTTCTCGTCTCTGTTTCTCGTTTTTCGAGCTTCGGGCGATCGCTGGCTGCTGCCCTCTTCTCCACGCCGAGGTGCGTGATCTCGCTCGTACACGCGCCGCCATGCCGCTGTCGTGTCCCATCGAAAATAGAACGATGGGAAACTCGATCGTCGTCTAATTAGCTCGTTGTTCGTAATTGAGTTCATAAATAACGGGGAATCGACGGCCTGCGTACGAATCCCTCGCCCCTGGACCCAGTTTCTGGACCTTGGAAAGCTGTTTATTAACACTGACACTACTATACTGGTCAAACCAATTCATCGTAGAAATCTGCATTTTACGACTCTTTGAAGGATTTTTTCTTCCCAAACATACGAATATTTGTCATTTGTCAAGATGAAATTTAGAATACGTTCACCACGATGTAATTTCAGAGATTTGAACGATTTGCCACGAAATGTACGAGTAATAGTTTGCGTTACTATGAAATTTTTCCCTCCTATCTTTTTGGAACACGAAGAAAGCTTCGGCCCGAAATTTCCCCGACCCCTCAACCGCGCGATTAAGACTAAATTTTTTTCTTGTACGTCGCGGTGCGATTTACCTGCGTAATTTTTCGACGAAAAATCAGGAGTGGCAAATGAAAGGTCCCGGAACAAAGGGCGAGAGAGGCGAGAAAGACGATGAATAAATTTCATGTAAATGGTTTGGCTGCAGGTTGCGGTGCTCGACTCACGTCGCCTGCACGACTCGGTACACTCGCTACACCTCACCTTCTCTCTACCTGTTGCAGACTTCCCTAAAGCGGTGAAGAGGCTGTTGAAGAACGACATTCTTATGTTCCGGACGGCCAGCAGCGTGCTGCACATCCTACCGATCGCCGGCCTCTACACCTTCCTGCCAAAGTACCTCGAGAGCCAATTTCGCATGCCAGCTCATCATGCGAACATGATCTCAGGTAATTTTCGCGAATAGACACGCGAGGGGAGTTTCTGGCCCTCCCTTCCTCCGAATCCTCCTGTTCTCGTTAACTTTCTTCGATACGAGTGGGTACTTCTGTTGAATTTTTCAAGCCTTCGATAAACGATACAGTATTTGACTCTGTAGAAAAGTAAAGACACGATTAAAAACTATTTAAGGCAGACGAAGTGTCGAAAAATGACCTGCACTGTATATTGGAGAAGATGAAAGGATACTGTAAAAGAAACAGATGGATGATAAAGGGACAAAATCGAAACTATTCTGCTTTGGATTTTATCTAGAGTCTTTGAAGAATTTGACATAATAATGTTACAGTTGACTAATTGTCAGGAATTAATTCTCATTCGTCAATTTGATAATAAAATGTGCATAAGATCATGATATAAAAATTGAACATCTACATCTAAGAGTAGGTTATACGCAATTGAACAAAAATTCAGTTCATTCACCGTTGATAGAAATATTTTACTATTTATCTTTCCATCTTGTAAATATCAATTTTTTACCACTGTAACCAAGGGATAAATTATATTGGAAAAATCAGAGACGAATGAGGGTCAATTAATTTTTATATCCAACAATATCACGCATAGCAAGGCTGTTAGAACTGTGTAAAATCTATTTTCTGTAGTGAATTTCTTGATTCTCAGTCGATATAAATCGTTCATGTAGTCCTAGCTCTAAAACAGAGTGACAGTGAGAGCCGCGTATTGATCCCAGATTATTTTGCATTTTTTTTTCGCAGGTGTCGGTGGTATTTTAGTAATGGGTCTGGGTATTATAATTAGCGGAGTGTTTATCCTGAGGATAAAGCCTAACGCCAGGTTCGTCGCAGCCTGGATCGCCTTCACAGCGGTAGTTTACGCGGTCGGCATGGGTGTGCTGATGTTCGTCGGTTGCCCGATGGATGATTTCGCTGGTCTCATTTCACATTCGGATGGGTAAGATTTTGTTTCTCTCTTTCTCTTCTCTCCATAGTGAAGTGTATTTACTTTTTACCACGTCGTTTGCATCAATTACCCTACATAGGAGCTTTTGTAATTTCGATCGTTGGAACGTTTGGACGTTTAAACTGAAATAAAGAGACAAGCGATCTATTAATTACGATCTTTTGCACAGATTTTGTCGAAAGAGCAATCAACGTTGTAAATAAATGACAAAATGTTTCCAGATTGTCCAGCTTCGAGCCGACCTGCGAGGCCACCTGCGACTGCGTTCGAAACAAGTTCAGCCCGATTTGTGGCGTCGATGGGAAAACGTATTTTTCCGCGTGCCACGCGGGCTGCTCTAATTATACGATAGTCGATGGCAAGGTAGCTTCGGTGAGTACCACGAAAGTTCATCATCATCGATCAGTTTCAGAGAGTTATTATGAATCTATCCATGGTAATTTCTGTCTTTCCCGATAGCTATTGTAGTTACCAATTTATTATAATGATGCCAATACGAAGAGTAAATGAAAGAAAGAAGGAGTGTTATAAGACAGCTTTGTTAAGAGAATTAAATATCAGAAAATTTAAAATAATATCAATTTTATTAAGCCTTTTAGAATTTCTCAATTTCTTTATATCTTTCTCTAAATCTTTCACTTCTAAATAATAATTTTCTAGCAAACTAAATTCCAATCTTCTGATAAATTGAAACAATATTGATCTGTTTGTCAAGTCTTTGAGAACTAAATTAATATTATAGTGAAATTTCATTGCAATTGTTGAAGGATAAATGATTTAGTACGTAAGATTTCGACACCGATTTCGTCGTCTCGTCGCGATTCAAATCGAATAACTTCTTCGTCAGTCTGCGCACCGATTGCATTCTCCCGATTGTGCGGAGCCGGTGACATCATCTTGGGAGAATATTGATAATATAACTTGACGCATCGGGAAAATAGTCGCGCGGTCGTATAATTGTCGGTGACAGTGGCGTGCAACTAGGCTAGAGATGTTTCGTTGTTCCACCATTTACGGGCGAAATCGCATTATTCGCCCGGGTGAAACAATGCTTCATTGATTACGCAACTGCGCAAGTCATTACTTTCGCAACTGAAACGTGCTTTCGCCGCGAGCATTTCATTTCCAGTTGTTCGGATTTCGCGCCGGCCGTGCCGATTGTTCTCTCAATTAAGAGGCAGAGACGCAGACGAGCGTCCATTCTGAAATTAGTCTCGGCTCGGTGTGTCTTGCACACATGCTTCTTAATCGTCGCACGGAAATGTAAAGTGATCTGGACGCTCCAGTTGGACGTAGCTGCGCGCGAATGGCCATCGATCGGATGGTCATTTACGATTTTATAGGAAGGGAAATCGTAGAAAAACCGATTCCATTAATTATCTATATGAATCACTTGCATTTTTCTTTCTTGTTTTATCGTTGGAAAAAGCAACAGACTTGCAAACTTTAGATATAAAAATACCTGCTTAAAATATACTTTGCATGTGTTAACCGCGCCGATTCCGTGACATTTTCAGTTTTACAACTGCCAGTGCATCGGGTCGAATCTAACTTCACCGGAAATAGCCAGTACCGCGACGATCGGTTACTGCGAGCTCGAGTGCAGTAACTTTTGGGTTTACATGGTCCTGTTCTCGGTGTTCGTTTTCATCCATTCGACCAGCGAAGTTGGCTCCATGCTGTTGATCCTACGGTGCGTGGATCCACGGGACAAGGCGATGGCTTTGGGGCTCATACAATTCGCCATCGGCCTGTTTGGTAATTCATTAACCTTCAGCTGTAACACTTTTTTTATTACTTATTATTTTTTTTATTACTTAATTGTAACAGAAGATTTAAAAAGTGAAAATCCAAGGACTTTTTAAATCTTCCAAGAATAACATGTTTGGTCCACTCAACTATTCGTTATTTATTGTGGCTATTTAATTAATTATTAATTTAGTATTAATTTCCTATACTGCTGCATTCTTCATATTTACATTCATGATTTTGTATAATCTGTTTATTGTTGATTGTACTCTCTACAATGAAGAATTTGGTTTTTTTTTTACATACTTTCTTATATTCTACGTTTTTACGTTGAACGGTTTTTATCTCGTGTAAATGAAAAAAAAAAGAAACATGAAAATTAAAATGACAGATTTTCGCCAAGATGATTTCAGAAATGAATCTGTCAACTAAATGATCCGCTGGTCGGTTCCAGGTAACGTCCCGTGTCCAATCGTTTATGGTGCTGTGGTGGACTCCGCTTGTCTCGTATGGGAATACGCTTGCGGCGAGCGTGGTGCCTGCTGGCTTTACGACTCGAATGTCTTTAGAATGTTCTATCATGGTACGTACGCGGTTAGGAAGAAATCTGCGGCGAACAGCAGTCGGAAATATCTTCACCTTGATTCTCTGACTGGCTACTGCTCGTTATTATATACCGGCGTTTAAATTTCTGTTGATCCTTCGCCTCATCACGTCGAGCGAGATACGAATTTCTCTCAACCCCTTGCCTTGTAATGTCGTGATTCGTGATTCGAATTTTCAATAAATATGAAAACCAACGAGAATCACATGCTAAACTTGAAAAACCATCGAATTTGTGGTTCAAGTGTTACATTTGCCTTCAAAAGTTCCATTTTTCTATTATACTGTTTCTTCTGTCGTAAAGCACATGCTAAACAGAAAATTTTTCATCCAGTGGCCAATTTTATGACTAACTGTATTTATAAAGAAATTAATTAAATCCGCACGATCGATCAAGCGCATCAACCATAGATGCTGATTTGTTCCATCGCGTCGATGACTTTGTGCTTCGTTTGAAGACGAATGACATCACAAGGCAAGGTGTAAAAATCTAATCTAACCAAAGGCAAGCTGTTTGCACATAGAAATTGGCCCTCCTCGTACGTTTAATTATCAATTCATTGACAAACGATCTGTCTCTTTAACGAGTCTCTTCGTAAATCACCAGGTACCACAGGTGGAATCCTGATTCTCGCGTTCGTAGTCGACATAGTGGTGTGGTACAAGGCGGGAAGCATTAGCTTCGTGGAGGAGCAGGAAGCGGAGGAGGGCACCGTGGAAGAAATGGCCACCCTGAAGTCGCAGGACGCGCAGGCAGTGGACAACGACTATTTATGAAAGGGTCCCGGTCGACTTCGATGGTATCTCATCAAGCACAGGCCTGAATCTAGCGTCGTAAACCGGGACAAAGCGTGACGAGCCGTTCCTAACTGACGAGAACTCGGTGCCAGTAGCACGCTGGAGGTTCAAGACCGGGCGATCGGTGTCGATCTTCGTGTGTCACGTTCGTCGGCCGTTTCCTTTTCGCTGAGTTTCGTTCTTTTTTTTTTTTCTTTTTGTTTTTCCCTTTCGAGACCCGGACCTCTCTGTTGCCTGTTCAAAGCGACGAAGCGAAGGATCCAAGAGGGAACGACGACGTTGGTGCTCGCATCGATCGCCTTTCGAAACTCGAAAGTTGAGTGAAGACGAGATCGGACGATGAACGAACTGTCGAAGAAGGCGGTGCTAGGCCACAGGAAATACCTGTAGTTTCCGAAGAGGCTGTGCTGAGGTTTCAAAGAAGCGCGTCGGGGGATGAAGACAGAAAAGAGAGAGACGAAAGAGTTCGATAATCAACGACGTGATTGTTCTTGAGGTTCTTAGAGAATTCTTGAAGACGTGAAGATAACGAAGAACAACGATTTGAAATTAGAGATAAAGCGGTACGAGGTACATCCAGAGGAGAGCGAGAGAGAGTGAGTGAGAGAAATATCGAGCAGAAACGTCAGGTAATATATAAAATTTCGTAAAAAGGAAAGAAAGATGAAAGAAATTGCGATATAACGATCGATACGGACGACGAAACGCATGGTTCTTTGGCACGCGAAGTTCTCGGATTTTGGACGAGCTTCTCTTAGGCACTACCGTCCGTGTTCCACTCTGCAAATACAACTAGGCGTAGGCAAACTGTACGTACAAGCGATTTACGATGTGTGTATGTGTGTCGATAATATTTATCTGGGACGAAATGCGCGATATATATGTCGTTGTTTTTGCTAGGGAATAAGGAACAATAAACGAAAGATCAGAAGGATATAACAGGGACAGATAAAAAACAAGAGAGAGAGAGAGAGCGAGAGAGAGAGAGAGAAAGAGAGAGAGAGAGAATGAATCTGGGAGCGAATGAGGAAAATAAGAAAAATACATAGGACATATTTTTTAGATGATTTGACGATGAAAATCCGGACGATAAAGATAAAAAGTAACGTTGATTACTAATTATTAAAGCGTTAGCGGATACGATACGCAGGGAGAAGAGCGACGACGCAAACGAAAAGCAAAAATAAATTAAGACGCAAGAAGTATGAGAGAAAACTGAAATTAAAAGGGGTGGGAGGGGAAAAGCTGAGAATTAAGAGCTGTATTTTAATATGATACATTTTACACACTCGTGAGACACTCGTCGATGTATGCGCATCTGCCGCCTGTGCTTTTAGTGCTTTTGGCGTTCATCGTTTTTGAGTCCTGTTAGATGGTTGACCTGGTCGTTTATTAACCCTTTGTAGACTCTCTTTAGATTTCGATGAAGATTGATCGTAATTCCTCAGTTCCAAGAATCCAATAATAAATTCAAATTAATACATATGTAATATAAAACTCGAATGGATAATCAATCAAATTGAAACAAAAAGTACTTTATGCATTATATATCGTTTTATATATTATATTTTTAAATTAGTAAATTGTTAGAGTAATTGCTGGTGGAATTTTATAATCAAAGGGTTAGGTGGACGGTCAGTGTATTGGATAGTTGTATGTCTTGCATTAGATGGGGAAACGAGAAAGAAAGGAGAGAACGGTTCCAGAAGGAAGAAAGAAAGAAATTAGAAACGCGCATTTAGGGTACGCATTAGCCGTTATGAAGTTCGCGAATTATTCGATTCAGGGGCATTGCTAATATATTATAACGTTTTGTGTTTTCTTCGAAGAACATTTGGCTGAAAACTGAAATCCATCAGAATTAGATTGTGAAGAGAGAAGTAAGGAAAAAATCAGGTAATTTTCCAATAATTTTCCAAAGAAATGAACAGAGGAACAAGGAACATTTTTGGAGAATTTTAATTTTGATCAATTCTGTATTGCTTCGTTCATCCCCGCAATCGGAAAACTATTGCTTAAAAAAAGGAAGACACTAAAATGGAATCACTAATAATTCACAGAATTATTTTCTCTGACTTTGTACTTTATGTTTAGCATTATTTTTCATGTTTGTTTTATTTTCTGTTTATTCTATTCTGTTTATCTCGAAGCCATTAACTGTAAATGAATCGTAATAACGACGGCCAATTGTTTCTTCGAAATTCCAAGTGAAGAAAATATATATCATACATATAACATTGCATTAACTCTGAACAAGCTTTCAGAGTGGCAGACGATCTTCCGTTAGTCCAGAAGCCAATAGCTACTTCAAAAGCGAAGAGAGTGATTACTGAAAACGTAATTTTTCTTTATGAAACGTGTTACTTCCAATTGAGACAGGCGATTCTCTAGAATTTCTTCTGGACTACGGTAGACCGTATACTTTAACCCTTTCGATATTGAAGATAGTTGCCCGTATTCTGCAATAGGACAAACGAAACCAACCGAAAGGGTTGAACGTGTTGCATATAGACATTATACGTATCGTGTGTGCATGTGCGTTTGTGTACAGTCGTACCAGTGAATCGTTGACGATGCAATTGAGAATGGATTGCACAGGGGCGGATACGGCCTTCCGTGCGCCTGTTGATCTCCATCGAGAATTGTATTTTTGTATTCGAAGTGACACATAATCTATATTTTAATCGATCACGAGTCGTATATAGAACAGCATGTAATAACTTGGAAGCCAATTTCATCCTTTGACGCGATTCGTTTCTTGGAACGTTTGAACGTTCGCCGTTCAATGTTGGTTCAATTCACTGCGACAATTCTCTCCGTTTTTCGTTTGTCCACTGTCAAATGGTGGAACGAGAAAAGGGGGGAGGGGGAACGAACGATTCGAAGGGTGCTTCTTCGTTTTCCTCTTTCTTGGTATCAAGAACGTCACGTGATAAATTAATCGTCACGTATCGTGTCGATATGATACCGTTTTCGCGATCGGTAATGGAATAATCTACGATCTACACAGTATGTTCTGATCGATTGTTTGTCCTTAAAATTAAACGAAACGCATTTGAAACGAGAGACGACAATATTTTCGCAAGGAGAGACTAGATACGCTGATATTTACTAAAAGATTTATCACGTGCACGATATGATCGAAGAAAGGGTTTATAATTTTGGAGAAGAGAGAAGAGATATGACCTGTGGTATCGCAATCTCAGAATAATCGTTGTTTCGCTTGAGAGTCGGTCCGAGAGATGATGCGTTTTAACCTTCGCGCGTTGGCAGGTGAATTTTCGTGTCTCTTAGCATTACGAAGCCGTTTTTAGGAGTTTCAAGGAGTTTTATCCCACGAAACGCGATTACATACGCGATAGACGTTATGTAGATTTTAGAGTGTTTTGCATGCCGTTTTATGAGCAAAATTCACGCACTGGTTGCCTGGAGCAACATTGCCAAACGAGGAGTCAAAACCGACATCTCCGTCGTTGCGACTGTCGAACGAAATTTCTCACAGGTTTTTCTCTCTGTCGATGCATTGTCGGACGCATTGTATCAATCGAACAAGATTTTAAACGGACTTGGTCGTCAAATAACGATGAACAGAACTATTTTCGACGGTCGAAGCCGTGATGTACAAACACTACGCGCTCTTCTCTACGGTTCGATTTATTTTTAACCGCGTTTTTCAATTCTTTTCCCATCGACGGAACGGCTAGAGGATTCGAAGAGAGAGAGAGAGAGAGAGAGAGAGAGAGAGAGAGAGAGGCCGTCGTCGTCCCATGTGTCCGTCACAAAGATATTTTTCTTGAAGAAACGAATCTGAATTGGGAAGCGTAACGGCGACACATGCGTTTATTTTCCAAGAAAGTCGCGAACCAGAGTTCGACGGGTCTCGACGAGACGCCCTTTAGGTTCTAGCATCTTGTTTTGAAACGCGTTCCTCGGTTCGTTGATGAAAGTACGTAATACCAGTGAACCAGAGATTCCTCGAACCTACGAACGGACAAGGGTGAAGCGAATCTTCGCGAGCGAGTTCCATTTGATTTTATTTTATTTTAATTTCCTTTCTTCGAAAGGGGGAGGTAAACCTCGATGAATGATGTGTACTTGTGCGTTTGCCTTTCAGTGCTCGATTATACGTTAACTGTATATTACATGTACGATAGAATTGTACATATAGGAAAGTACAATAATTGCCAAAATAATCATGGCGTGGAGCGACTCAGTCTTTATTCCGTGTGTTGCGCCAGTCGGTGTATCTAAGATGGACAAATGACGTCTTCGACGTCGAATCTTTTATGAATTTTACCCACAAAGGGAGGGGCACTTGCGCGAACGTGAATTTTATCCGAGATATCTTGGACTTTGACGAGGATTTTGAAATGTAATACGATTGACTGTTCGATTTAGTCGCCTGTCTCGGTTCATTTGTCCATCGTTCATTAAAATAAAATATGCTTAATCGCATCGCCAGGAGAATCGACGCAGTGATGACGCGATAACGTTCAAAACACTGCCCTCTTACTGATACTGCCAGTCAACGAAAAGACTTGTTTCGTGTGAAAGCTCGTCAGCCAATTAAACTACTGCCAGATATTATCGAATCACTTTTACCAGTGTCCTTTGCGAACTGTCCATTTACAAGATTCTTTGGCCCAATATAAGCAGTTTGCTTTTATATAGCAATACTTTCCTTTGCATTTGATACTTCTCGCGTAATTCGAACGAGTTTTTTTTTTACCAAATGCATTAACATTTATATACAACGTCGACAATCTAAAAGATAAGAAAATATTCATTTTTTTACATTAGCCACTTACATTCATTCAGCATTTAACGTTCACTAGCCATATCTTTTGATGCGTCATCGTTGTCTGAAGTCTCACAGTATCGTCGATCAAACATTATTAAAAAAAGAAAAAAGAAACAGAAAAAAAAAAGGTAAAAGAGGAACCGATCACTGGCGGAACACAGAATACCATAATAATTATATTTTAGTAAAAAAAAGAATTTATCATTAATATACTTGTAGGATAATCATTCGCGCAAGCGGACACCACGATTTTATCTAATTACGACGTAGTTCTGTAAGAGAACCATAATTGCTAGTCTTTAATTTGCGACGTGCTCACGTGTACTCGCACGTCTCGACGGAATATATACTGGATGTTTTATGAATCCTTCGATTGGAGCAACTTCATCATTCTGCGATCAATTTTTATATATTTTTAATCTTCTAAGATTGCGATTTAATTCAACAAGCTGTCGAACAAAATTTTCGTTACACGCTCTGAATAAGAATTTCCATCCGAGTCCTCAATATTACTTTGCAAAAGTATCGTCTCCGCGAATTCGACGAATCATTGAATCTCATTGTTAAGGCTGATCTCTGTATTTTTACGAAAATTTGGAAAAAGAAAGAAAATGAAAAGGGAAATTTGGACTTTCCCCAAATGTTACATTTCTACGTGTTTTTTTTTTTTTTTTTTTTTTTTTTTTTTTTTTGGTAGTTTCTTACGAATAAATTAAGAGCGTAAGATGAACACGTTGCAAAATGCTGAAGTTGTGTCCAACGTTCTAACTATATTCACTTAACGTATATGCGTGTGTATCAGGCGTAAGAAACGACTAAATCGATGAATAAAGATAACGAAGAGCAGGGAATACGATAAACGAAGAAGATGATTAAAAAAAAAAAAGAATATAATGCCATTTTTATGTATACATATATTGTACTAATGATTATTATAAATTTTTTTTGTTTTATTAATATTATTCTTACTATTACTATGGTTTACTGTCGTCGGATATTGATTCTTGTTTATAAAGTAATTGCTATTAATTGATCATTCGCGCGGTCGCGGATCACCGTTCTAATATGCGCTTTGATTTTTATACATAATATATATATATATATATATATATATATATATATATATATTATACATATATATACATATATATAGAAAGAATCGATTACTCTGTAGGAGACGTAAGTGTATTTTGATATAGTGCACGATACCGTGTTTGCATGGGTGCGTGTATACGTATGCGTCTGTGTATGTGTGTAAATATAACAGAAGTAATTCTACGTGTGTCCGATTTAAATCGCCGGGCATATGCAGAACGAATTTCACGTAATTTGTAAATGTCGTTGAGTTGTCGATACGTCTGTCTTAATTTTTATTTCTTTTATTTTTTATTTTTTTTTCCCCCGCGCTTGTTTTTTTTTTACCTAGATATCGTACAGGCAGTTACTTCTACCATCGAGACGAATGGCGGTCGTGCATCGTCTAAACGCGACAAGGTTACCGAATTGTGAAAAGAGAAGTTTATTTTTGAAGATCCATTGAAGATCAAGCTTACGATTTATCATAATTATGCTGTCAATGTTTATGCAATTTAAATGATTGTCGCAACATTTCTTTTGCTGGGTTTGTTGTTTAATTTCATTATATTTATCTTGTCCGCAGCAATATTTTGACGCGAAATTAGTAATATGTGTACGCATGCAATTCAAATTAATGTTCGTCGAATTAAAATTTGAAGTCGTAAATACAGAATACGAATTTATATACGGAGAAAATCAAATTAACGTTTGATTGCATCGTGCCAGTTATGGAACATGGGAATTGAACAAATCTAAAAAAAAAAAAGAACAATATTTTGCATTCACGCAGTATAGTGTGGCAGTAGATTAATATAATGAGAGTAGATCTATGTAGGACAATAGATCCGAAACACACTACAAATTATTTAAAGGATTACAATATGAACTTTGCAATCGCGAACAGTTCATTTCTAACGTAAATCGTAAACATATCTCAATTTTATTAAGTGTCCGATGATTATGAAAACTAAAGAAATGAAGCTCCAGTAGAAATTTATTTCGATTAGTAAATGTTAGACTAAATATTCTATTTTTGCATATAATACATAGTCTGTATATTTTTGCACGAATTTCACAAAAATGTATAAACATTCGCAGTCGAATCATGATCTTAGAAGTACTTCAATTCCTGTAAATTTCGAAAAATTATAGAATCCAGGTATAGAAGACATGTAGATGAAAAGAAAAATATTAAACAAATCCTTGGAATTTCCTTTTGCTTCCTAATATTAAAAAATAGAATTTAATAACGTAAATTGATCGAAAAGAATTGTAAGTAAAATGCTGCGTTGATCCTCAATGGATTAAACTCAACAATGACAGACTTTTAAATTTTTCATTGTATAATTTTTTAATTTTAAATGGATGATTAGGGTCGCTGTAGCCCCATCATAATTTTAATCTAATTATCATGTAATAATTATCATTATTTGAAAATTCACGTAATCCACTATTGTCTCATTATATTTTTAATGTTGCGAAGGAAACTTCTATTTCTATTTGTCAATTCGACATAAATGAATCATATATTCCGAGTATTACATTAAAATTGAAAGTCCGCTTGAAAGACAATTAATAAGAGACAATTCATTTCACTGTCAGAATTTTTTGATTCTCAGATCAATATTTCGCATGAACGATGTACGATATGCCGTTCGTCGACAACATAATTCCTTCTGGAAGATGTAACACGCGTCTCAATCAAGACTGTAAATAGCAAATAGCAGGCGTTCGATGGACCTCCACCTTAAGGTTCCCACACTACTCCCGATGTTTAAGTGCCTAAAAACAAAGAAAAAGAAAAAAAAAGAAAGAAAAGAAATGAAATGAAAACCGGAATAAAAAACGTGTCTATCCTCCTCGAATCTTCGTTGTCTAGTTTCTAGAAGTGGGTAAGATACTATTTTGACTGGCTGGATACCACCGCGAGTTAATGTAACTTTCAAAGGGCTAACACATACCGTTTCAAGAGTGCTGCAACACACACACACACACGTACATTTTCTCCTCGTCATAGAATCTCCGGAGTTTTGAAACACTAAATAATAGTAAACGCTATCAGTAGTGTATCAATGAAGAAACGTAGGAAAACAGGTAAAGCAAAAAAAAAAAAGCAAAAAATGGAAAAGAGAGTATATTTGCGAGACATCGGTGTTTAAGAAAAAGAACAAAAAAAAAAAAAAAAAGGAGAAAGGAGTTCGAACCGATAGGAAACGTTTAAACAAAGATTATAATGCAAAACCGTAGTGACGATGAAGAAAGAACAAGTAGACAAACAATCGTCATTCCCACTCTGATGAATTAATATACGTATAATATATGAATATATTGATTATACATACATAAATATATAAATATATATGTTATACATATGTACGTAAAAAAAAGACGAAATAGTATTTTATCTGACTGCTAATTTCACGTCACAGTGAACGAATGTCGTTTGACACACCCTCAGCAGATCTCAGCACTCTGACGAAACGAACGTGGATCGTTTATTTTTTATTCGCGCATAAAAAAGTCCCGCTCGTTTCCGTGGAGCGCGTTTACGAACACCGGTGTTCACAGGGTACATCGGAAATCGGGACACACACGACTGTAATACGTAAGGTTCACGCGTTCAAAAACGTTGTATCACATTCTGGGCGAGAGTCGGATTTTTTTTCGAATGAATGTACACGCACGTGCAAACTTCCTGTCGCTCTCGGTGGTGATGGAAGTTCGCACGGTGTAACATATACGAACTCTAGAGCACAAAGAATCAATGTACAAATACGCGTTCTGAAGCTAAATTCAAAGAATTTCTTCGTTTTCTCTGTTCTCGAACTTCAATATACGAATAGCTGTCCCTCTCTTTCCTCTTTTTCTTTTTTTTTCCTTTCCTTAGAGAAGAAACACGATTGTTCGTTAAAAATCCGATCGCCTCCGGTACAATTGAATGTTTCAACTCCTCCCTCTCCCCTGTTCCAGTGATTATGTCGTACAAAGAAGCCGATAGATCGATTCGCGATGCAACCTGTGAACGCGCGAGCGCGTGCGTGTATATTAATTATTACAGAATATATATATAACAGAGTATATATATAAAATAAATGAAGAAAAGAATATATATACACACAAAGGTATACACGAGTGTATCCGCGAAAGAAAAGAAGAAGAAAAAAAAAAGAAAAAAGAGAAAAAGAAAATGAAATGAAGATAGATGGAACCTTGAGGTCGCGGCACGGGTCCCTGAAACCGGAAGTACCGCGACGACGAGAGCCGAATATTTTGTTGCGCGTGCAAAAGTCAATTTTTGTCGATTACAAAATAAAGAAGAAACCCCTTTGCATCACTGTAAACATACCTCTAGAACGTTTCATAGTTTAAATTAGCCTTCGGGTTATCGATCGATGATCGGTGAGCGCGTTCGGCGCGAATATTTTTCAAACTTCGCGAGATCGGCGAGAAGTAACGAGAAAAGGAAAAAGAAAAAGAAAAGGGAGGAGGGGAAGAGAATATGAAAAGTGGGAGAGAATATCGAAGATTTTGATATTTCGATGCTTGGTAATCCGAGGGTTAAGACTGATTTAGCAAACACGCTATAAGAAAACCAGATCGATTGTAATTATGCTATTATTATTATTATTATTATATTATATGATTATTATATTATATTATTATATTATATTATTATTATTAATATTATTATTGTTTGTAATTTACGATTACTATCGAATTTGTTTTTAATAAACGGCAGGTGCCATGATTACGAATCCTCTCGGTGTATTTTCACTTTTCGCTGCGATTAATTGCTGTTCTTGTTATCTTTTTCAGCAGAGCTGCGAGCGAAACACGTGATCGAAACGCTCTTGATGATCAGCGGATCGTATTGTTTCACGATCGTAACGAGGCTAGTATAGCTGCGCAGTTCTCATCCGTGGACAGACACTGGCCGAAAGCTTCTAGCAGCAAAGGTTCCTCCGTCACAGCTACCTTGTAATCCTGAAAAGATATCTTCCCGTCTCTATCCACGTCCAGCTTCTTTAACGCCAGTTCAGACAGATCTTTCACTGCCTCGTCGGGATCCTCCTCTCCTGGTTGCTTCAGTAAGCAATTTCTGAACCATTGAACGAATTTATGGTCAGTACGTCATTAAATGCTATTAATGAACACAGGCTGCGGATATTTATGTAAATTGATGTCTCTACGAACACAATTTAAAGAATAGCAAATAGTAAAACTCGAAACTATTTAAATTTCGTCTGAAACATTTATTAGCAAATTTAAATCAAGACGTCAGAAATCAGATCGTGTACTTTTGCAGACACTCTGTGCATTTTTGACAAATGCACATAAACATCCGCAGTTTATTGATAAATAACGAAATCAGCACTTGAATAATTGGAATATTTCATCTTTCGTGATGAACCCGTCGTTGTTCAAATCGTAAACTTTGAAGCAAAATTCAATTTTTTCCCGTAGACTGCCGCGAAGATACAGATCCAGTCCCATGACCCATGGTTCCAACCTAATGATCCCTTCGTTTTCTCTATCCCAGCAACAAAATATACGCTCCATCAACGCGTCCTCGGTGATTACCTTGAACGTGTTGTGCAGCAACTCGCGAAAAATCACTCTGTCAATACCCTGAAAAATATTTTTTTTATCTTTTAACAGAAGCCAAGTAAATAAGTAAGTAAATTTTGAATTTTTATTGGTAATTTTTAAAAAAGTGTCATATTTTCATTGTTATCATAACGTTTATCTGACATTTGCGGTAATTTTTAAAATTGAACTTGTATCAGTTTCCTAAATTGGATCACCTGATGGTTTCTAACTTGGACCAATCGAATTGTGCTTCGTTAATTTCATTCCAAAAATTTATCAATATTCAACGATTTGGAGATTGAAATGGTCACACAATGGGAACCGCGTGCTTTGCATGTTTGCTTCGGGAGACGTAATGACAGATTCACGCAAGCGAGTTAAAATTCCTATAATTTTGAAACGATACGAGTGTCACTACCTCTATGGCTTGACTCGACTGAGTCCTCCTCCCGATAATAGCAGGTTGTCCAACTTGTTGCTGTCCAGAACTAATCAAGTTTTTGTACTGTTTGCACAGATTGTCCAATTCTGACCTGTGGCGATTAGAAAAATTGGTCGAATGTTACTGCAGTAACGATATCTGTTTATTATAAAGTTAGGATTATCATAGTCCAATTCCTCGTAACATCATACTTTTTAAATACTACGTGCATAGAAATATCAAAATTTGCACTTAATTGTTCCATATACATTTATTATTATTTTCGAAACACAAAGAAAGATTCTTGATCGTTTGTGCTTAAATGATCGTAAATCTTTAACTACTCTCTCTAATTATTCTTTTTTAAATCTCTTAAAAAATTTGGAAATATCAACCATTGTCTAGAATTCAAGACACAAAGAAAGATTCTTGATCGTAAATCTTCAACTACTCTCATTAACACCGAGGTGATAATTTCTATCAATATGAAATTACATGGTTCTTTAACCTTGATCTCAACCTCGTACGATTATTGAACCAGATTAAACTTTCCTTCGGGTATTAGTGATAAAACAATCGGACGGGCATATTTTTACTTGCCAGGAGAACCTCGTTTTCCTCTTCAACAACTCCATCAATTTAACCGTGTGCGCCGATGTTCTTGCGGTTCCGGCGACCGGCATCCTTCTGCGATGCTTTCTTCGCGGCTGGTGCTTCGGGCTACCGGAAATCTGCCTGTTGCTGTTCACGGAGGCTTTACGGCCGCTCATCAAGAAGATCGAGACGCTTTTCATCAGCGTAGCGCCGGCATGAAGGCTCGTCGCGGTGCCTTGATCGTCGGCGCCGACGCCGACGCCGACGCCGACGCCGTTCCCGCGATCCATTCGAGCTTTCGCGCTCGACGAGAGGCTGCGTTCCCCGGACATCCGTCTGAAATCCGCGAGCGAAAGCTGTATACATCGATCGGTCAGTGCCTCGGTCGTAATCGCGACGAAGTAATCTCCCGATCTCTCTCGCAAATCGTCGAGGCTCGTCCCTCTGAGGTGCAAACATTTTGAGAAAATTCGCCGGTAAGTCGCAACTGTCAATCGTCAACGAATGAAAATGTGAGTTTGAAGTGTGAAAATTTCACAGGCGTGAAACGAACAGAGCTGAGGAGGAGTACAGGTGGAAGGAAATTTTCGTTCCTTTCGTTCTGTTCGGGCTAGTTTCGGTAGATGGTTTCCACGTGTGAATATGAATAGAGATAATTGGATAATTGGTTGATTAATCGTTTGAGAAACGTCCTTAGAGAACGTGTTTCCCTGGTTCTAATTTTAGCGAGTGCAAGCACGAACGTAAATTGATCGCGCCAAGACGATAGAAGCTATGGTTACGGATCGATTGATCAATAAACACGCAACGATTCATCGTTTCGTTCGATTGGAAACCGAATCCTCAGCAGTTATTTCTTCCTTCCTTCTGTGCAGCGTGTCTCTCGCGTCTTCACGCGATTCACCTGTAATCTACCTCGAATTGAATGAGTTTAGGGACAATTTGCTTGTCAAATGTGCATCCCCGGCAATTTGGAAAATTGAACATTTTCTTCGTTACAATTCTATTACAATACCACGCGATTCAATTTATATGAAAATGCACAAAAATGATTTATTGAATATCGTCGGTGTTCTCTTTCTCTCTCTTTGCAAGAGACAAGAAACATAAACGAAGTGCGCTGTCATGTATAAATATTTGGGCACTTTTAAATTATTATAATATCAATGAATCTTTTTTTTTTAAATGTATACTTAACAGATATTGATAAAAAGAATAGCTAATATTATAATAACTATGATTGAAAACCTTAAGTGGCTTTAAATGACTTTAAATGAAATTCTAACCACATTGAAAAGAAGATTCATGTAGATTTCTAAAGTATCAACGCTATCAGAGTAATGGAAATTTTTGTTTGAAAAGTTTTATATATGTATTTTTATAGATTCAAATGATTCTTTATAAAATATATAATTGAAAGCTTGCACTCTATATTTTAAAGTTTTTTTTATTTTAATCCCTTTGATGAAAGTTTCATGCTTTGATCGTTGGTAATGTTAAAAATGAATACGGAACTTGAGAATACAGGAAATTAGCAGTGTAGCTAATCGCAAAAAGCTTATCGAGCATTTGATAGAATTGTAATATTAAGCATTCAATTATTTATAAACGGTAATGTATGTGCACTTGATTTGCAGATTGCTTCGCAAGTATTTCGTGCATGATTAGATATCGACGATGGTAAAAAATTGAGAAGATTACGAACACGTACGAAACTGTTCGCAAAGCAAGAGTATAATATCTATTTCGAGCATGCTTTCTTGCATGCTTTGTTACATCGTGCCTGGCACTACAAGCGAAAACCAATTTCAGGAGGAATGATAACATCCCGGATATTACTTCAATCAACTTTCACTTAACTTCAATATTTAATTCTAAATTCTTAAAGCTAAATTCGATCTGAAATATTGTAGTTCTTGCACTTGTGGGTGGTTCATTTGGATCAGGAATGATCAGGATCCATGAAAAAGAAGTTGCGTTTGCGTTATTTTCGAGTAAAACCGCCTTGGTCTTCAGATGAGATAGATTCGATAACAGGATAAGGAAACATTCGTTCGTTAATAAAACAAAATTTGCAAAATAAATTGATGAGAAGAGTGATGTAACGTTGAAGGAGATTATTTAAGAAAATCAACAGAATCGGTACTAAAAAGACTGAAACACGCAATGAAACTGAAAGAATATCCTGTGAAATATTAATCAGAATTATCGATCAACATTATTAAGTCTTGGGATATGTCCTAACAGTCCAGTCATCTATGATGTAAGGAATCAACATAATTGGTTGCTTTCGTAACTGAACTAGTCTTTATGTTTCTTTATATCTTTGTATTAGATTTCTTTGAAACAGTAAATCAGTAGGTAATATATCACACATTCGTTTTACTCTGTACAGACACATTCGTTAGAATGTTGATTACATTTCTCTTCGTGTCATCGCTCAAAAAAGATGGTTCTAATCGACGAAGATCGCTCTAAACGAGAAACATTCGCCAGACGAAGATTAAGTATAATACACGTATACAATTTATAATAATTATGTGTATTATAATAATATTGCGCCTGAAGCGAGTGCAGTTTCCATTATTCCACACGCATTAATCGCATTCCTATAAACGTTCGTGAATCCAGCGGGAAAATTGTTTCACTTTTCAACGATTTATCGTCGAAGGTAATCGTATGTATTCGCGGTTTATCTAACCAGCCCATGTAAATTCATCGGCTACGTCGGAGCGAATCGAATTAACTAATTCGAATTCAGATATCAGAGGTGCAATTTCACACCAGATTAGATCACGTCACGATAACGAACACAATCGTATTCGAGTTCTTGGTTTAGCTCCTCGAACTTTGCATACACGCGACTTGTGAGTCATGCAAGTAGTTTCGTCCATTGCATCGTACTGCTAGAGAGAAAAAAAAAAAAAAAAAAAATGAAAGAAGAATATATTATAACTCTCTAGCTGCTACTTCGAGCAGCCTGTGCTTCGCAAATGTTCTGATAGGTCAGTTTCATTCTGAAATAAAAATATGTTTGTTTAGCTACTGGCACGTTTACTCGAGAGCATCGAACGCTTGAAACAAAGTTGCGCTATAGTCGATATTTTCTACTCGAAGCTTCAAGAATTACGCGATGGGGGATAAAGTTAAATTTTCATGTGTAATTCAGTTCAGGGAGTTAGGTATTTGCAGTCTCGCGACAATTGCAATAACAATAAACTTACCCTACGATGAGAAGGAAATGCTCGCCTGGCGATGGTTTCTTTCTTGTTGCTATCAGTTACCTAACGAAATCGATCAAACATTCTGGACGAGAGTGGTTTCGCCCCCAATTAAAAAATGTATGTCAGAAGGGAACTACGATTATTTGAGAATATTTATTCAAGTAACCTTTACACATATACAATCATTTTATAGAGCAATAAAATGTTGATACACTAATCTAAAAGAAAAGCTTTAGTTCAGCTCTTTCATTGTTTATATCTAAAGTATCGACACTTTCTTGGGCTGATTCATCGGGGTGAATTTTCCCAGATTGTTGGGGCTCGATTGAGTTGGCAACGTAGAGTGATGTTTCCTGTAGGATTATTATTAAATTTTAGACGCTTAATACACTTTTCGATCTCTAAGAATACGCTGTTTTACATTCCACGAAATTTCTAACAAAAATTCATAAATAAATCATGTCGACCACTTTGGTAGTTTTAGTGTCAAAGATAAATACGCTCTTCGTTAAACTTTTATTAATTAAATTTCACTCTCTCGTACCTGCAAAGTCTGTCAAACACACTTCGAACGAAAGTTAGGTGTTTTTGAATCTCCATCAGCACGTTGTCCAAATCTAGCAAATTCTTCATCGTTTTCAATTCCAATTCGCTTATCGATTCGATCTGAGTTGGAACGCCTCGAAAAAACGTGGAAAAATTAGAAACGGACAACGAAGGGACATTCCTTACGATCATTATGGATTTCTTTTTGATAAAATTACTCGAGTTCTCCTGGCTTTCTTGAACATCTTGTTGATAAGTGTCTGCCTGTTCCAACGAATTTAGAATATTCTCCAAACTCTTGTTGGTCTTCGATACCGGTTTAATGGACGCCGATGATGTGCTGGTGTCCATCATCTCGCTGATCTCGAGATCAATATTTTTCAGCGTGACGGTTCCGCCTTGAATCAGTTCCATCAGAATCGCGTTCAGTTCTTTGAATAACTGACTCTGAAATATTAAACTAGATACTGTACACTGTTTTCTCTTAAACTTTAAAGGACATTCGCAATTTCTCCAGATAATTTTTTTCACGCGTATCTAATTGAACGTCTAGTTAAATATTCTGTCTAGTATTTGTTTGATTTTTTTAAATTGATTAAATAGTTTAAATTCAATAAATTAGATGAGTAGTGAAATTATGTATGTGTAATTAGATTGCGGACTTTTTATGGGAAATTTTAAAGTTTGAAGATTGCAGAATATGAAAAAATAAAATATTTATATATAAAATAATATAATATAAATTATAATATAAATATTAAAATAATATAATATAAATATTATGTAAAATATCCAATTTTTTTGTAACATTTACTACGTAGAACAACTTTCTTTAAGCTGATACTCTACTTTTTCAATTGTACTCTCGAAAATATTATGTAAATTTGCATAAAAAGCCTGCAGTCTGCATAAAATATTTGTTTCTTATTTTCACATATACGTTACGCAAAGGGATAATCTGTAAACTAAAATCGATTTGTGCGATTTAAAGCTGAAACTTGCCTCGTGTCGTACGAGATTGCCTAAATTTGGGAAATCTGTTAGAAGTTTCTCGAATTCCTCGCCTCCTAATATAAGCGCCTGCTTGATCATGATCTCTTTTATGGAGTTCTTTATCTGAGAGAAGTCGGTTTTGGGGAAATCCCGGTCAGAGACCCGATGGACTCGAATGCTTCGCTGTTGGTCTTCCAGTGTTTGATTTTCTTTACAATGGAACAAAAAAAAAAAAAAGAAAAAAATCGAACAAGATTGAAACCATTTACATTTGTGTCGTTCGCAAAAATATTAAAATATTTTATAAAAACATTTTACAAACGTGTTAGGTATGTTATACATAAAATAGTTTAAAATTTCATTAACGTTACAGCGAGATTCTATCTTTTGTATTAACATTTAGACAAGTAAAATAATTTATAACATTTATTATGATTATTCATGCTGTGCTTCCATATATTATTTTTTTACCAAATTATACTATGCTTGTAATAAATATCTTGTAACTTCTCTATACATTTTCAGATTGGTTTCAAATATTATCAATGTAATATCATGATGCTCGTCTCTCGTTGCAATTTTTATGAAATTTCAAAATTGTAAAATTTATATTACTCGCGTGAAACTATATGTACATAAAAGTTCATTCATTATAAGCCTTTTAAACGACAGCTTTGATCATTCGTTCGTTTCTCAGATAATTTTCTCTTACCTTTCGATTCCAATTTAGCGAAAAGACCATGCTGTATCTAGAAACAGATTTATCGTCGTTGAAATTATTCCAACGGGAGGAAGGATTCAACTTCTACTCACTTGCAGGAAGACCAACAGTAACGCAATTATCAGAAACTTCATTTTCCAGTTAATTCTCTGTTTCGATCCTCGCGAAAAAAGAAGTCGATCGTCAATCGAGCTACGTTAATGACTGCTTCTGGCAGAGCAATCGATTTTATAACGACCGTGTGCATCGTTAAACAGTCTGTGCTATGCCATGTTTTTCCAAACATCCCTCCTCTGTCACCAGATCGTTCCGAGTTGTTACGGATATGAAATGTTTGCACTGCTAGAATGTTCTTTGACACTCGATGAATTCAAGTTGATTTCAATCTTGATATCATCTTTACAAAAGAACGAGTGTGGAAGATAGTTTTGTTCTACTTTATATTTCTTTCAAGATCGATCACGTATTATGTTTAGTGTTAATGTTTATTAGTGTTGACGTTGATGACAGCAATGAAATTTAATCGATGTGACAGGAATTGAAGGAATTATGGAACTTTTCAATAAGTTTGGTTCGTGGTACGTTCCAAAAAATGTTCCATGTTTGGTGTAGTTTGGTTTTATGTCTATTAAAAGAAGAAAGTCTAATCAAGTTTAATATACAAAAGTTTATTTTATAAAATACACTTAAACAAACAAGGAAGTATCATAAAATTGAGCAGTACAGGCTAGGTCGTTGTCCAACATTAGTCTTCAAAAGAAGGAGCTCCTCATCTCCCATATCCGTAACCCCTGCAATAGAAATAGCAATTTATAAAATTCAATATTGCAACGTTTGGATATCACATGACCAGACCACAAAATTTCTCGTCCGAATGTATCTTTCTGACGGTATTTTATTAAAGTTTAATATTTGAAAGTCAAATATTATTAGAGTCTAATATTTGAAAACTAATTAAGCTTGAACGCGTGTGACTAAATCTAAATTTGAAATTTAAAGTTGACGATTGGATTGTGTGTTTTTATGCAAGAAATCGAACTTAACTTAACTAAAGAGATTTGCTTCGTTTAGTAGTTATTTTAATAAATACTTTGGATCTGTTGGATTGTATGTTCTTGTTATATTTTATGAATTATGTGCATTTTGTGCATTTTTTCTTTCCCACAAATGCACAAAAGCTCGCAGTCCATCGACAAGTGACGAATATTTACCCAGCCTTTGCGCTCGCGAAAGATGCGCTACCGAATGGGGAGCTAATAGAGCCGGCATGAGCGGAGCTTCCGCCCCCGTAGCCATAAGGACGAAAGCCACCGAAACCACCGAATCTGCCAATTCCACCAAATCTACCAAATCCACCGAAATGACCAAAATGGACTGGCTCTGGATTTGCCTCTCTAGCATTCCTTGCTAGCGGAACTTGTACAACATCCAGAACTGAAAATTACACAAACATAAAGAAGTAGTCGTAGATCAAGTTTTACAAATTTATAACTTCTTGTTCGAGTGTTATTAACATGTTCAACCTGGTATAACGGGTCACAATTATTTCACATTGTCAGTGTGTGTCGCTTAAAGTTTTATATTATCAATTTATGAGAATATAATTTATTATAATAAAATGCCAATCGTACAGGAGGAAGAACATCGTGTATTGATGTATTGATAAGTTAAGAGGGAAAGTGGTGTAGTTTAATTTCTTTTTATTGGACGTGAATTTATTTATTGGATAGTTTGAATTTAATGAATTTAACTTAAATTGAAACTTATTACGAGTTGTTGGAGATAACCATAATTGTTAAAATAATAAACTTAATTGTAAACTTTCGCACCGCGCCTTGAAACAAAGTGTTAACTTAATTCTCATCATCTGAACTATAATACCTACAGTCCGATATAAAATGATAGTTCTGAGTTTCTCAAAAACAATGATGTATATAAATACATGAAAAATACCGTTGCTATTGAAATTGACTTCTTTCGATCTTTTAATAATATTCTTTTTTCTTTTTTTCTTGCGTACGAAGAAATTATTTAAAGAAATAAATCTGATTGCATAAAAGTCAGCACCAGATTGGACGTGTCGAATCAGAAAACTGTATCGGTATAAAAAAAAGAAGAAAAAAAGATAAAGTGAAGAACGAAAATTACGTGAAGTCGAGTTTCAGGAAGTTGAAGACTGCGACAACTTCTAAAAGAACTAAGGTCGAAAGGTAATAATTTTTTCCGTTCAGAGATCTGTTAGACATACACTAAACGATGAGTCACAACCCCAGGTATATTACAATCTCGTCAGTGTGATGCGAAGCATGTTAATCATTTCTCGTTTAAGAATAATACTCGCCGAGATGTAAAACATAAGCTGTCACATGACTCTCAAGGAAAATATCATTACTGTGCATTTGTTTGTACTTGAAACAATACGTTTCAACCAATCGGATATTCTTTAATTTCATTGAATCTTTAACTTCAGTTATACTTCACATTTCTAAAGATTGATCTGTTCTAATTCTGAACTTTCTGGATAATATTACTTTAATCAAAATTTTCTATTGACTTTACAGTTGTAAAGGTATTTCCTAGTTGTCCATTATTTTTTACTCCTGTAATTGTGATTTGCTAATTATTAACTTTCCATTTCTAAAGATATCTTTAGTCTTCTAATCTTTCTGTTGTTATCTTTACACTTAAATTTTTAGCCCTCTAATTATAATCTTTTTAATTGTTAATTTTACACTCAAAAAGATATTATTGTCAAATACTTTTTAATCATCTAATATCTTAAACTCTCCAATCTCAATTTCTCAGTTATTGTCTTATTAATTGTCTGATTAATTTGACACACTTAAAAATACTACGTTATAATATATTAGAATATCATAATTACAATATTCCAATTATTAACTTTACACTTTCGAAAATATTTTTCAGTTATTTCATATCATTTAAATCCCCCATTAATTTCCTTTTTTTTTCTTTTTTTTTTTGTTTCTGTTTTGACGAACTGTGAAATTCACTTTTAAGTAACTTGAAAATTCCGAAATTACTGTACCTTGTACTCCATCATCGTCAGGGTTGCTAGGATAAGCAGGATAAGCGAGGGTGGAAGCCAACACAGCCACGAAAATTAACACGGTCTTCATGTTTCCGGATTTGGTACTGAACCCAGCAACTTCTTCGAGATTCGAGAGCGAAGTGACAATGAGAAAATCCACAGGGCGGTCTTTATATAGTAACCGTGAGCATTCTCAACGTCTTGGGATGTCCCGCGTTTACGTTGGTACTAAACAGGTACCTCTCCACCAGGAATCTCATTAGCACGGACAGGCCTCCTTTGTGTGAACACATTGGACACAGTTTAACGTGGGGCGACTATCGGAACTTAACCAGTCGAACGACAACGAACGATGATCCAGCAATATTGCATCTCTATTTTTTTTTTTTTTTTTGCGAGTGTCGTTCGAATTCTGCCATGTGACAGATTTGGCGAAATCAGCTTCTTCCATCAGACGATTTTTATTTTGGTTCTTTTAATGCCTGTTTCTTTGATCTTTCAATCTTCGCGATTTTTAGTGCCACTATAAGTGGTTCGTATATTGCATCGTACATTCCAAGAGGAAATAGAAGATTCAAACTCGATTTTAGCAGAGTCTTTGTTCGTTTGATTCTTCGAATTTTCAGATTTCTTTTTGACGTTTTGATCTTTTAGATTTTTATTATGTTTTCATTCGTATTTAGGACTAAATGGAAGGTTTGAACTCGATTGTCTTCAGGCATGTTTAATATCGGTCACTTTTTATTTTATATTTTTATTTAGACAAATATTGATTTTTCTTTTAGAACTAATATTGTTCATTTTCTAGTTTATAGTTTTACTCGTGTTTAGATATAAATGAAGGAATTCGATTTTCTTTCGTCAAGCGTGATATTATCAAGTCTCATATCATCTTATTTTTCTACTTTCATTCTTACGAAACAGTGAAAGATTGATTCTATTCTGCTTCGTTTACAAATATTTCTAAACGAAATTCAACGTTTAATTCAAAACGAAATGCATAGAATGAAATTTGAAACGATGTTAAAAGCAACTTCCAAAAATTTCTCGCGATAAGAAATTGATTGAATAAGTTTAGTAAAGTTTAGTAAACTTTCTTTCGGTTTGAATGAATTTTTACTTAAACTTCAAGTTTATTTGGAAGCAATCAAATTTGGAAAATGGAACAACTCAGTATGTTACCAACAGTACATTGAAATGTCTTGAAAGATTTCCTTCAAAAATTATCTGCGTAATGTTATTACGTGTAGGTTTTCGCACGAATTGCGTATTAATTAGGACCGCGGACTCCTCGGGATTTTCCGTTGCGGGACGTTTCTTCGTGTCATCATTGAAGACTTTTTTTTAAATATCATCGAATAAAACGTTCTTCGATTGAACATAAAAATGATAATCGACTCGTTCCACGTTATCTTGAAGCTGTTATGTCGGAAGGTGATTTCAAAAACCTACTTACGCCTGAAATATTATGCTTCATGGATTATTGACCCGTACATGGTTGGAAGAAAAAGATAGAAAGAAATAAAACACGAGATGACAATCGTATGTCAATTTCAATCCGAGTGTTTATGGAAATTTCACAAACCTGTTTGATCAGTGAATCATTGGACGCTGAATTTCTGTACTTTCGAAGGTTAGGATTTATTATGTCTTTTTTTCTTTTTATCGTTCATTAATTTTTTTAAAACAAGAGACGTTTTCAATCGAGAAAATAATACATCTACCACTGAATTTCAGTATGCAAGGAAATACAGTGTTCGCAAATTTGACGGAACTTTATTTTAGAATTTTTGAGATTGCGCAATAGTGCGTCGAAACAGAACCATTGATCATTGTCCTTTTAAATATCATTACAATCATTAGTTTTCTTGTTATAATTATTAATTAATTAATTATTATATACAGGATTACAGTTATAATTATAGCTATTATTCTATATACAATAATAATTTTATATAAAAATTTTATTCGCTTTACTGTACGTATGTTAATTAATACATAGTGTTTCGAATTTACTCTATCTTTTTAAGCAAATGTAAGAAACATCGTCACTATTTTAGAAATGATCCAGCTTTAACTAAAAAGTTAATTATGATTCGTGAGATGTCCGAACCCACTCATTTCCTGATTTAAATATTTGAAATTCGACAAATGTGTCTAGTCGTCGACAACTGGCTGTACGTACGTACAATACACGATCAAGGAATCGAGAAAGGTGATCGTCATTTGATACAATAACGCGGAAGAAGTTGAAAAATTACTTATGAACGATCGCAGACGAATGTCAAATCCATAATTTATCTGTGAACGTAGGCGAGTAGACGAATTTAATGAAGAAATTTTGAAATCGTCGTGGAGCAAAAATATTCCACGACTAGGACCAACTCTGCCATTTCATGAATCAGACAAATGTCTCTATACAGGAATCCTATAATGACTAATTGCCTATTATATACATATATATATTCCCAAGGTTTCGAACAGAGCATGACGATTTCCGTGGGACCATCTATATGCATAGTCGTGTGTTTAGCCAACCAATTCGACTGCGATCATCGTGTCGCGTTCCCTGTTTGCACTGTCTACTCTTATAATACAGAGTGAATCGTGAACAATCGACTGAGAAGTAATTCTACATATAAAACTAAGTCGAGAAGGGAGAATAAAATTTTTTCGCGTAAAGTTTCGTCTCCAGGAAAATATAGTGATTCTTATTAACCTCTTGACAAAAGCCTGATAGTTTAATAGCGATAACAAATTAAGAATGCAGAATTCATGTTTGAACGTATATCTTTTGATGTATTTATTGTTATTATATTCTCTTCTTTGGAGCTTTAACGAGCGAGCCAATTATTTTATTTGTTCATTATAAGATTATCTATATGATACTCTAGTATTGATTAAACACTCAACGGACACCCTGTATATCGTCGTTCTTTTTAGACTAAGATACGTAAAATCTAACGAAATTACGTCAATGGTAATCGTTCGTCCATTTTGTTCAAACACTCGACCGTCTTGCTTTCAAAGTCTATTTGTCTTAGCACACTTCGCTCTCTAATGCTCCTAACTCGGAGTTCGTAGGAAAACTTTAAATGGATCGAGTTATATCTCATTTGGACGGAGCGTGGATCCCCTTATGAAACTTCTCCGATGCGTAACGATATCTTCGAAGCCAGTTGCACAAGTCGTTGTTTGAAAATTGATAATTGATGGAGATACGGATTAATTCTTTTCGGAAAAACGAAGATGCATGACAACAAATTAGAGTCGTTAGCAGTTTCTGAAAGTGAGTAAAAAAAGATGATTTGTGATTGAAAATTGATAATTGATGGAGATACGGATTAATTCTTTTCGGAAAAACGAAGATGCATGACAACAAATTAGAGTCATTAGCAGTTTCTGAAAGCGAGTAAAAAAAGGTGATTTGTGATTGAATGTAATGTTTCTGGAAACCGATGAGTCAGTGGTCTTGTCGGAATCGCTTATTATCTAATCGTATGAAACATACTCCCTTGTCATTGTATTTGCATCATTCGTAATTTTCAATATTTTACATTTTAGTGAAATTGAAGGGTTTGAAGAAAATCTAATTACAAGTTTTGTTAATTATTAAAGTATTACACGCATATATGTATACTTAAATGTAAAATGTTGACAATTGGAAGTGATAATTCAGTGATTGTATATTTTCTCAGTGAAGTATTTGGACTCAGGGATTCTACTAATTCAAGGCTGGAATTCGTTTTGAAAATAATTTTATTTCGTCGATATCTCACGCATCATTTACGAGAAACGATCTTCTCAGGTTGAGACAGTTCAATGAGTAACAATATACGGTACTGGAACGTTAGATTTCTTCTCGCCAAATTCGCAAGATATTCGTTAACTCGTGGTTTTTTATACGCTCTACGAACTATAATACGAGTCTGATTAGCTAGTCGAACGATCATGCAAATTCTTCACTAACCTCTTCGAGTGATACAACGTAAATATTGCACTAGTCCGTTTGATCGCTACTCACTACGAAACCGGCGCTAAGTTCTACTAATTTCTAATTTAATAGTACAAGTTAAAGTATAATAATAATTTTAAACGGAAGACATTTTAACCCTTTGCACTCCGTTAGCTCCAGAAATAATACAGTATCGTACACATACTGTAAGTATTTGTGCATTTGTGAAAAATTTAGTAGCACGAAATTACTCAGAATGCAATATTTCATAAAAATATTAATTTCCATGAAAATCCGCAGTTTAGTTAAATTTTCAACATTCTCTATAAAGTTGTAAAACGTAACGAAAATGAAAGAACTTGATATATGTAGAATATTCTATTAGTGAGACGTTTAGAAAGATTCACAGAATTGAAAGAAAGAAATTATGTTGCACTTTGTTTTAAGAGAAACAAATATCATAGGAGACGGCAAAATTTCTCCCACGAAATTTTAGAGTAATAAATAATATCAGAAAATATCCAGAATGCAAAGGGTTAAGGCCACCGGTAAAGGGTTAGCCAGAAAATTTGGAGCACGCTAGACTTTCGAAAGAAATACTAAAATAAATATCTTCTTTTTAATACAAGTCAATTATACTTGTTTAAAAATAGAAATTGTAGAATATTCTTACTTCTGAGAAGAATGAACTAAAAGATGTGTCCCGCTTAAAATAGCCGAGAGTGCTCCAAAATTTATGAGCGAAAGTGTTCGAATTCGATGAAATTCTCTCTGTTAGGGGTGACATTGAGGGATGACACGACTGATTCGATTCGTTCGAGAGTTAAATCTATAAGGAATGCCCATTCAGGGAAAGACGATCCTCGGAGTCACGATGGAGAATAGAAAAGTGGAGCACGCAGTTGAAGCTCTGTCCTGTCTGCATGTTAATGTCCAATGGAATATTGATCTTAACGGTATCGAGTAGCGAACGCCTGACTCGTCGATCTATCGTGATCAATTTACTCGAGGGTCTACTCATCGGATGGTGGTGGACGTCGCTTTTTCCTGCGCAAATTGTTCGGTGGAAATAGAAATTGAAATGTGTCACGTATGGTGAATGTGTAGCTTAATAGTTCGCAGATTTTTATGCAGTTTTTATACTTTTGAAAAAACAATTGAAGAAGTGCCGAAGTAATTTTGTTTTCTCTAGTAAATACCATAACAAGCATTTCAACACTCTAATTTTTGGTTTGAGAAAGTCTACAGATTTTCCATATTTTGCATGTTGTGCCCGCTCTTGGCACTTTTTTTTAATTTATCGAGACAAAATTTTATCTTGATAAATTAAATAATTATACATGATAGTAAATAACAACACAATCGTGCAATTATGCAATAGTGAAATGGCAATGGAAATTATCGTTTTCTATCCTATTAATATTAAATTGTTGAAAATATTGAAAATTTCCGATAATCTGGAACATTTTCACCAGTGAAACGTCCGAAATAGATTTCGCTAGTGAAACATCGTAAAAAGCTTACCCGTTAGGGGATCCACCGTAGGCAGTTGCTACCGAACTCGCTACACCACTCTTCCCAGTAGAGTAACTGTTAGCGATCGCGGTCACCGCTCCAGGGGGAGATCCTCCGGAAGATCCAGCTCGAGAGGACCCACCAGGGAAGCTGAACACCATGGGGAAAAAGTTGTTCAGGTTCGGGTAGTTTTGTCGGCGACGATTGAAGGGAATGAAAGGGACTAGCGGTTCGTCGTCGTCGTCGTCCTCATCTTCCTCTTCGTCATCGTCCGCGACGACGACAGGGGTCTTCTTGGTTTTTTTCCCATTGTGAACCTTGGGACGATTCGCGGACACCTCTGTATTCGTGTAGGCTGGCTCTGTGACTGCTGGGCTAACTCGTGGTGCTGCCTCGGTGGTGAACGCGGGAGCCAGTTCCGGTTCCGGTTGGCCCTGCAGGGAATATTTATTGAATTTCGGAATTTTCTGATTTCTTAACCATTGGCTGGTATCGTACGATACTCGAAGCCAGAAGTATGTTTTATGTTGTTTCGTAGTATCAGAGAGAAATGTCCAAAAGCTAAAACTGGAATAATGATAATTTACTCTGACTTATTAACTTTACAATTAATGGTATTTAACAGTAAGGTATTGATTTGTATCTTTTTTTTCTTCACCCCCTGTTTATTAATTTAAAAGTTTTTAAGTTTAAAGAGTTTTAAAGAGAAATTTATTAAGAGAAAGAAAGTATCGAGAACTTGCTATAAATAAATTATTATCAATTAATGAGAGTTCATTAAGAATTTTAATCTAGGTACATGTAATAATCATAGACTACTTCCTCGCCAATCGTTGTCCTGATTATAACGAATAAAGTTAAAGTAAAATTTCATTAGTAAACTATTATAGTACCTGAGTAGGTGAGGCGCCATGTTGCTTATGATGACTCTGGTTGTCGTCTTGACGATGTTCGTTCTCTTGAGGATAATTTTCCTCATGTTCGTCCTGTCGATGATGCTCTTCAGGCTCTTGAGGCTCTTCCTCCTGTTGTACCTCAGTGCGTTCGTCCTCGTTGTAAGAGTTATCGGCTTCAGGTGCCGCATGCGCTTCCGCGCTCGACACTTCCGGTTCCTCGATCGGTTCCGGACCGTTCTTCAAACGTGGCTGTTGTTGCATGCCACCAAAGAACGCCTCCCCGCTCACGGCGTTTCCTTGCGCGAAAACACCAGTCGCTTGGCCACCGTGATTCGTGCGTCGAACGGGTCTGTAATACCCGGTGAACATCATCGCTCTATGAGGATACGGATGCACGGCTGTCCTCTTCTCCCGAAGGAAGACTATGGGATTTCCGTAAGAATCTAACGTCACTGAAACTTTCGAAAAAGATCGATATAGTTTGGATTCAAATGTTGATCTTTCAAAGGCGAAATAGAAGTAATTTTGTGTAGGAGAAAGAAAGGATGAGTTTTACGTTCCATCCCGATCATTGGACTATAAATTTTATACTCTAATCTCCGAGACTGAATCTAGTCTCACTGGCAGAGTGTTAAGATGACACAACGCAACGAACAGTTAACAAGTATTTTTCTTTACAAAAAGAAAAAGGACAATAGTGTGTCGTTTTACTTACTAGGTTCAGCAGGAATAGGTTTGGACTCCGTCATCGCGATCGTTGTCGCCACGACGACGAGGAAAACGAAGCTCATCCACTGTGCCATCCTCGAGAACAGAATTGACGCGAATTTGGTACAGATGCGAGAATGAAAACCTCCGCAAAGCTGTTACGGGTGACCAAGATTTTCGTCGAGACACCGGAAGCTGACAAGCACTGTGCACCTGTCCTGGCAGGTTCGCGAACTTTTTGCACGATGCTGCTATACTCGAATCCGCAATTGCTTTTATACCAAGAGCTAGGATCACGCGGGGGATGGGATGGGCGAACGACGACGTGGGCCATGGGATGGATCGGTCGGATCCACGCACGAGGACGGGGATATGGGACCCTCTCTGTAGCCCCCACCATCGATCGTCAGGTGGTTGCCTCGTACCCAACAGGATCGTCGTAACGCAAACGTGCGCATCGTTCAACGATACGTGATCGTCATTCGAGATCGTTTTCGAACTTGAATCGAACGAATTAATTGCGATCTCTGCAGATCTCCGGTCTGAGTTTGCTTGATCGAATTACACAAGTATCGCTCTTGTTGACAAGGGACGCATTGGTAAATAGTTTATGATCGTTTACGTGGGTGAGAAGATTGGCGATGCACCTCTCAATATGTACAAATTTCGGCTACTATAACGAAATTATCATGTGTACGTTCATACCCTCGATAATTGTTCTGCATTTAAAAAAAAAGGGAATTTAGTGCTTCGAATTTTTTCTATTTGTTCACCAACGAATTTTTACGCAAGAACAATCAGTAAAAATGTCAGTGGGTTAAAGAAGAACTGAAACGTACGACAAAATAAGACAGGGTATTGGAAAGATGGGATGCAAATTGCAAATTTTCATTCGGGGGATGAAACGCGGAACGTCGAAGATAAATCTTTCGCGAAAATTCTACTTTAATTCTCGCCATTCTTTCGCGCGAATCGTATTAAATCAAATACGAATAAAGCCGCAAATATTCGCTAAGCGGAATGAAAGAAGGCAAGGTGCGATTATCAAGAAAAACACGGATCGATATAAAAGATCGGTGTTCTTTTCACGATGAAAACACTCATTCCAGGACTCGGTTCTCGGCGAGTTAAGCAGATTGGAACTTGATGAAAGGATCTAACGACAGAATAACACGGAGGTTCATACATTTTCAATCGTTCTATAAATACGCGCGATCCAAGGAACGAGCCCAGGACGACGCTTTCCGCCGATTCTCTTCAACCTGTGGCCTGTGCATGTACCTTCACGGGAATTCGCGTTTCCAGAATTTCCCTTCCCTCGGTCGTTCCTCGCCGTTTTTTATTCCACGACCCGCTTCTTCCACGAACGTGGTCCTCCAGGCATCCTCTGGACTCGTTAATCTGCCCGAACGTCAGACGAAAAGTTGGATACTCCGGTCCCAGAAAAGAGATGTCCGTACGGGAAAAGACGTACAAACAGACGACGTTCGACCATCACTTTCCAAATTAGTGCAGCAAATTAATATATACGAAGATATCTCAGTCACGCGTAACCCACGCACGAGGATTATTTTCGTACGGAGTAGAAAGGCTAAAGGATGAAGCTGACTGCAGCAGATCCGGCCGAGGCGTCACCCGCTACGGTTAATGACGTCTGTTTTGACGTAACCTCTTAATATTAATATTATGTCAGTCATACACGGCGGTAGGGGTACACGACTTGGTCAGAGGCGACGATAATTCTCGGGGATGATCAAAAGTCCGTAAGAGTCCAATGGCGGTGGCCGCGACGCTCGTGATCTGAATTTCAAGCGAATTCAGACAGATCCGCCTTCACGTGTCACTGTACCTTCCTCCACTCTCTCTCTCTCTTTCTCTCTTTAACCGTCCATCGTTCGCCGCGCCGCGAAAGAGCAACGGAATTACGATCGACTCCGCTAGCCTTCTGCAGAAGCCCTCCAGCCTCGTTCGAGACCCCTTTTAACAGAGTATTTCTCCTCCGTTCGGGGTACATTATTCATTCCGCGCCCCATCGTTCCTGTTTTTCCTCTTCTGCGAGACACGGTACTCGCCCCGGTTCGCCCCGTCTCGGGCCATTGTTTCTTTATTGGATGAACTTTTCACTCGGGGGGGTTCTGATCTCTTCAGTGACTCGGGATTTGAAACTCGAGTTGCGTCGGTTCGATTTATTGAGCGAGGATTAAGTGGGATTAGGACAGAACGATTAAAAAGTAGCTACGATATGATTTTTCTTCTTTTTTGTCTTGCGTACGCAAGAATCATAAGAGCAGTATCGTATCTCAAATTTATTCATTATGGATTCAAATGTTATTGATAATGTTTCATCGAATGTTGAAATACAACGCTTGACGACAAGTTAACTCGCCGATTGGAAAATCGGAAAGCTTTTAAAGTTTATTCGCACCAGACGACTAGAGATTCAGCTATTATCGATAATGCATCCATAGAGAGTTGAGATTTAATTCTTTAACCAGAGAGGATGAGTTATTGTTGAAAGTTTCTCGCACGTTTCAAATTTGTGCATTACATTGCATCGTAATTTTTTCCTAAAGTAACTAAAATTGTTCTAATAGACGAAGGACCGTTCTCTTTTTAATTCACGTTTTCATACATAAATAACGAAATTTCTGAATTTTTAAAGTTTATGAAAATTTTGAAGTTTATTATTCAAGCTACAACTGTTGTACTGTGCATCGTGTATTGTGCACAGTCGATACGATCGAGATATTCACTTTAGTAAAGGACGCTCGACGAGGCCAATTTCCGTTTTCGAAACGATTTGACCAATCGATCGATCGTTTCGGCCGCTGTACCGCTATCAGGCGGTGAATACTTCACGCGGTTGTACCATTTCATGAATCAACTTCCAAACGCACCGTTTTCCAAGTCACGCGTATCGTATTTTCGAGCGTGACCAGGCGACGCAAAGCGGCACGTCCACTTCTGATAAAACGAACGACCGTTCCGCTCGGATGCAGCTGGATTCGCGATTCGTTCGTTCCGCAAAAATTTACATCGGTCTTAAACTCCGGCCTTTTCACCAAGCTCGCCCGTTTCTCACGGACTTGCATCAACATAAGCTTCCTCGCGAAGGTAATGGATCTTCTTCTCGTCGCTCGCTTCAAATCGCTTCGTCTTCCACGAATAAACTTTTAAATTATTTTTCCTTTAATGGGAAACGAAAGGGAACATCGTGAGCAGAACGTATGTTAAGAGCATCACTCGGTATGGTAATCGTTCGCATTGAAGAGCTCTCAAAATGCAACGGTCTTGTCCAACTTCGAGGATAAAGAAGCTTGGTTCAACGACCTCGTGGAACTATTTCGCGTACAATCGTCTTCCACGGCTTGAACTCAGAAATCAGTCCATTATTCCGCGTTAATATTCACGACGCGTGTCTGAAGTCTCAGACCTATAGGTTACCTAGATAGTTACCTGTAATTGAACAGAATGGTCACGCGTGTCTGTCGATCCATGTTTGGGTTAGGTTTGGATACCGACAGTGTCCAACAACGTTCGAATTTCGTGGAATATAGCAACCAATTATCGGATTCAAATGATATATGATAATTACATCAAAAATAATATAATTACTCTGTAATAAATAGGTATTGTGTGTAGGTATATTGTATAAAACATTTTGAAATTTCGTTACGTTGCAGTGAGTCGTGATTGTATTGACAGAATTTGAAATCAATTTGTGAAAATTGACTGATTGAATGAATATGTAGAAGTGACGATATTTATTAGTGTACAACACAAATCGATCTCAAGTATAATATATAATAATTGTTAATAATGGTCCTACTAAATATCGACGTTTATGATATATTGGATTACGTTTGTTTAAACAATTTCAGAACATCTCTAAACTATAGATACACTTGCATCGAATATCTTGCAATTTCTATATATATATTTTTAGATTTATTTCAAACGTGGCCAACGTAACCTTGATAGTTAAATTGCCCTGTAATATTAAGAAAAAAAAAAAAAAACATCAAAATGATTTATACAACATACTTGCATAATAAACACGTAAAGGATTTTTTTACGACAGGTGTTCAAGTACTTCCGTGAGCAGCTGTATTATTTATTACTTCAGTTACCCAATTACAAAATCGAATCTGTGATTCTTCATCGACGTATTCCCTTCATTTTCTCACAAATTAAATCTTGAATCGCTCTCTGATGGGGATTCAAGTTTCGCTTTCGTTCGTATATTTTAGGATATGCTCAAACTGGTGAAGTATGGCTGATGGTCCGAGATTGGCACCAGCAAATCAGCAAACACGAGTATCGATATTGTATTGGCCAAGATCCCGCATCGACGAGATTATCAAGTGGAACTCGTAAACAATCGTCGAATCGCTGTACGTCACTCGGATTGCGAAGATCTGCTCGCGAGTAAATCGCATGTAAACCGATGATATGCAAGTCCCATAATAATGAAATTCAACGTCCGTCCGTTTACTGCGTCAGTCTTTAGAGCCATTCGTCTTCAGGATTCCCTTTGTTTAGCTGTTTTCCATTGTTTTCCATCGTTTTCCGCCTGCACTTCAACTGCGCCGCATCTCCAAGCCTGGGATTGCAAATAATTGTATTTCTCTCGTAAATAAGTCTATTGCTTTCGTTGGGAAACGTTTCTTAAGGAACTTAGATTTCGATATTGGAAGAAGATTAGATTTGCAATTAGATTTCACTTTCATGGCAGTGATACATGGTACTGTGATCATTGTGGCATCACGGTACGACAATGATCGAACAATATCAGCTATGCATATTTTTAAGAAATATCTTCACACGATAGAAACGTATATCTAGAATTTTTTACAGTGTATAATTTTGTCACATGTGTAGCTTTGTCTTGGTTCAAAATTTTGTAGAGAAACTTGGTGCTCTTGATATGAATTTTTTAAAACTGCTTCAGTAAACAAAATCGCTGATTAAATATAAAACGTATAGGGGAAGGGAGTGTAAAACGAGAACACTGAGGAAAAATTGTTCTGCAATTTTATGTTCTTATCTCTTTTGTTCTGATCTTGTATCTAAAACAAATATTAAAATATTAAAATGACAAAATCTGAAGCGAGGAAAAATTTTCGAAAGAGCTCTTATTGTCAAGAAAACCAAGAAAATTAACCAGTATTTTTTCAATAAAATTACCAATCATTCTTGAATTATGCAGTTCTTAATAACTAACACCTAAAAATAATGAAAAATATATCTTTTTACTGACT